TTGGGCCATCATCTGCTGCTTTCCCAGGCATATCAGCAGACACTGGATCAGAAGTGAAGCAGGGGGCTGGCACTGTGGCACAGTGGGCTAAGCCTCTGCCTGTGGCGCCAGCATCCCATATGGGTGTCTGTTTGTGTCTCGGCTGCTCCTCTTCTGGTCCAGCTCCTTGCTGATGTCCTGGGAAATCCATGGAAGATGGCCCAAGAGCTTGGGTCCCTGTGCCCACGTGGAAGACCCAGAAAAAGCTCCTGGCTCCTGGCTTCAGATCGGCCCAGCTCCTGACATTAGGGAATGAACCAGCAGATGGAAGACCTTTCTCTCTGTGTCTCCCTCTCTCTGTCTGTAGCTCTACCTCTCAAATAAATAAAATATTAAAATAAAACACAAGAAGTGAAGCAGCTGGGACTTGAACCAGTGGAATGTGGGCATGTTAAGCAGTGCCTTAACCTGCAGCACCACAATGCCTGTCCCTTGTTGAGTTTTTTGAATTGCTTATAAATTCTGGATATTAATCTTCTGTCAGATGAATAGTTTGCAAGTATTTTCTCTTTTTCAGTTGGCTGTATATTCTATTATTTGCTGTGCAGAATCTTCTTAGTTGTAATACTGTTTGTTTATTGTTGCTTTCAAGAACTTATCCAAAAAGTAGTTGCCTATACTCATGTGTTGAAGTGTTTCTCCTATGTTTTCTTCTAGTAGTTTCATATTTCAGGTCTTAAATTTAGATCTTTGATCCATTTTGAGTTGATTTTTATATAGAGTGAGGGATGGGGAGAGGTCTTGTTTCAGTCTTCTGTTTATGAATATCCAGTTTTCTCAGCACTGTTTATCAAAGATGCTGTCATTTCCCCAGTGTATGTTTTTGGCATCATTGGCAAAGATTAGTTGGCTATAGACACCTGGATTCATTTTTAGAATCTCTGTTATGTTCCATTGGTCTTTATGTTTTTATGCTAATGCCAAGTTGTTTTGGTTACAATAGCCCAGTAGTGAGTTTGAAATCTGGTATTGGGGCTGGTGCTGTGGTGTAGCGGGTAAAGCTGCTGCCTGCAGTGCCGGCATCCCATATGGGTGTCAGTTCGAGCCCCGGCTGTTCCGCTTCCGATCAAGCTCTCTGCTATGGCCTGAGATAGCAATAGAAGATGGCCCAAGTCCTTGGACCCTGCACCCACATGGGAAGACCCAGAGGAAGTTCCTGGCTCTGGATCAGCGCAGCTGCAGCCATTACAGCCGATTGGGGAGTGAACCATTGGGTGGAAGACCTCTCTCTTGCTCTCTCTCTCTGCCTCTCCTCTCTCTGTGTAACTCTTTCAAATAAAAAAAAATCTTTTAAAAAAAGACTTATGCCCACTTTGAAAAGAAAGTAGGTTCCTGGCTTTCGATCGGTGCAGCTCTGGCCATTGTGGCCAACTGGGGAGTGAACCAGTGGATGCAAGACCTCTCTCTCTCTGCCTCTCCTTCTCCCTCTGTGTAATTCTGATTTTCAAATAAATAAATAAATCTTAAAAAAAAAAAAAAAAAAAACTCTGTTAACACACTGACGTGTGAACCAAATAAAGTGGCTACTGTTTTTTTTTTTTTAAAAAGAAATCTGGTATTGCTTTATAATTTCTGAGTTCATTGTTGATATATCAAAATAATACTGACTTTTATGCTTTGATTTCACAGCTACAGCTTTACTGAATTCAGCAGGTTTCTTCTTCTTTTTAATATTTATTTATTTAAAAGGTAGAGAGAGAGAGAGCTTCCATCTGCTCGTTCACTCCCCAAATGGCTGCAATGGCCAAAGCTGGGCCAGGCTGAAGCCAGGAGCCAGGAGCTACTTCCCTGTCTCCCATATGGGTGCAGCGCCCAGACGCTTGGCCATCTTCTGTTACTCTCCCAGGCATATTAGCAGGGAGCTGGATTGGAAGTAGAACAGCTGGGTCTTGAGCCAGCGCCCATATGGGATGCTGGCACTGTAGAGGCTTAATCTTTTGTGCCCCTCAGGTTTCTTCTAATTTTTAAAAAAATATTTATTTATGAAGCCGGCGCCATGGCTCACTAGGCTAATCCTCCGCCTTGTGGCGCCGGCACACCGGGTTCTAGTCCTGGTCGGGGTGCTGGATTCTGTCCTGGTTGCCCCTCTTCCAGGCCAGCTCTCTGCTGTGGCCCGGGAGTGCAGTGGAGGATGGCCTGGGTGCTTGGGCCCTGCACCCCATGGGAGACCAGGAGAAATACCTGGTTCCTGTCATCAGATCAGCGCGGTGCGCCGGCCGCAGCGCGGCGGCCATTGGAGGGTGAACCAACGGCAAAGAAAGACCTTTCTCTCTCCTCTCTCTCTCACTGTCCACTCTGCCTGGCTCACCTGGTTAATACTCCGCCTGCAGCGCAGGCATCCCATCTGGGCGCCGGGTTCTAGTCCCAGTTGCTCCTCTTCCAGTCCAGCTCTCTGCTGTGGCCTGGGAGGGCAGTGGAGGATGGCCCAGGTGCTTGGGCCCTGTACTCACATGGGAGACCAGGAGAAGCAGCTGGCTCCTGGCTTCGGATCAGTGCAACGCCGGCCGTAGCAGCCATTTGGGGGGTAAACCAAGGAAGGAAGACTTTTCTGTTTGTCTCTCTCTCTCTGTCTATAACTCTACCTGACAAATAAAAAATAAATAAATAAAAATTAAATGTTTAAAAAAATATTTATTTATTTGAGAGATAGAGCTACAGAGAGAGGGAGAGACAGAGAGAGAGGGGTTTTCCATCTGCTGGTTCACTCCCCAAATGGCCACAATGGCTGGAGCTGGGCTGATCTGAAGCAAGGAGCCAGCAGATTCTTCTGGGTCTCCCACATGGATGCAGGGGCCCAAGCACTTGGGCCATCTTCTACTGCTTTCCCAGGCCATCAGCAGGGAGCTGAATTGGAAGAGGAGCAGCCGGGACATGAACTGGTGCCCATATGGGATGCTGGTGCACAGGCGGAGGCTTAACCTACTATGCCACAGTGCCAGCCCCTCAGGTTTCTTCTTAAAAATCACTATTATTTTACTTATTTTTGAGGCAGAGAGAGAGGGAGATGGAGACATGGAGAATAGACAGAGGGCTGTCATCTGCTGGCTCACTCCCTGACGCCCGCAGTCACTGGGCATAGAGCATGCAGAGCTGGGAACCAAGAACACAATCCAGGGCTTCCACAGCGGTGACAGGGACCCAGCCACTCGATGTGCACATCAGTAGTGAGCAGAGCCGGAACCTGATCCCAGATGCTCTGCTCTGGGACGTGGGCCTTCCACGCAGCATTCCAACTGCTCAGGGAGATGCTCACCTGTTTGTTCTGATAGCCTGTTGGTAGAGCCTCTTGGTTTCTCTATGTAGAGAATCATGTCATCTGCAAGCTGGGATTATTTGACTTTCTATTTAAATTTCTGTTTGTATTTATATGCCTTTATTTCTTTCTCTTGACTAGTTCTTCTAGCTAAAGCTTCTAGTACTATATTGAATAAGAACAGGGAGAGGGCCCTCCTTGTCTGGTTGCGGATCTTAGAGGAAAGAGAAAATGCTTCAACTTTTCCCTCTTTGATATGATATTGGCTGTGGACTAGTCATAGATAGTCTTTATTATGTTGAAGTAAGTTTCTAGATTATTTGACTCTTTTTAGTTCCTTGTATGTTCTGGATATGAATCATTGTCAGATGAATAGTTTACAAATATTTTTTTCTGTTCTGCAGGTTGTCTCTTCACTGTGCTGTGCAGGAACTCTTAGTTTGATATAATCCCATTTTTTTATTTTTACTTTTGTTGCCATTGCATTTGGGGCCTTATTCAAGAAAATCTTTCCCTATACTGATGTGTGTTTTTTTTTTTAAATTTATTTTTATTTGTTTGAAAGGTAGTGTGATAGAGAGGAGACACAGAGCAAGAGATCTTCCATTTGCTGGTTCACTCCCCAGATGGCTGCAACAGGCAAAGGTGGGCCAGGCTGAAGACAGGAGCAAGGAACTCCGTTTGGGTCTCCCATGTAGGTGGCAGGGTCCCAAGGACTTGGGGCATCTTCCACTGCCTTCGTGTGTGCATTAGTCGCAAGCTACTGGGACTCAAACTGGCATCGCAGGGTATGGCTAACCCACTGTGTCACAGCACTGGCCCCTATGCCAGTGCCTTGAAAGTATTTTTCCTGCGTTTTCTTCTGATTGTTTCATAATTTTAGGTCTTATATTTAGGTCTTTGATCCACTTTGAGTTGATTTTTGTGCATGGTGAGAGGTAGAGATCTTGTTTCATTCCTCTACATGAGAATATCCGGTTTTCCCAGCACCACTTATTGAACAGACTATCCTTTCTCCGTTGCGTGTTCTTGGCATCTTTGTCAAAAATCAGTTGACTAAATGTGTGGATTTATTTCTGGGTTTTCTGTTCAGTTCCATTGGTCTGTGAGTCTGCTTTACGTCAGTTCTGTGTTTTTGGGATTGCCACAATCTAATTTTAGAACTAGAACAGACTTTTTTTTTAAGGATGTATTTATTTATTTGAAAGTCAGTTACAGAGGGAGGAAGAGACAGTGACAGAGACAGAGACAGAGATCTTCTATCCACTGGTTCCCTCCCTGAGTGGCTGCAATGGCCAGGACTCAGCCAGGCTGAAGACAGGAGCCAGGAGCTTCATCCGATCTCCCCACATGGGCCATCTTCTGCTGCTTTTCCCCAGGCCATTAGTAGGGAGCTGGATCAGAAGTGGAGCAGCCGGGATTTGAACCATTGCCCATGTGGGATGCCAGCATTGCAGATGGTGGCTTTACCTGCAATACCACAACACTGGGCCCCTTTAGAACATGCTTAAGTTCTTTTTTAATTGTACTTCTTTACTTGTTAGAAAAGAGATGCTTTTTTTTTTTAGAATAAAAAATATCTGAAACAAAGAAATTAAAAAATTTTATTTTTAATTAACATTACTTATTATATACTTTTAATCACTGAGTATATTAGTAACTGATTCAATATTATCTGATAAAATTACCTCTTTTTTTTTGTTTTTAGCGTTGTAGAATGAATGAAGACACTGGTACTGATTATATCACACCTTGGCAGTTGTCTCAAGTAGTTGATGGTGGAGGTGTTGGAATTATAGAAGAAAGCAAACACAAAGATTTGACGCAAGGTGATTTTGTGACTTCTTTCTATTGGCCCTGGCAAACCAAGGTTATTCTGGATGGAAATAGCCTTGAAAAGGTGATGTATGTTAATTTTTTCTTCTCTCTGAGTTCTCACTTTGTACATTTAGCATTCTGTTCTGTTTGTTATCAGAGAAAGAATAGAAGCATAGTTTTTTTAGCTAGTTGCCAAAGTGTGGAAAGCCTTTGTTCCTTCTCCACCCTTGACAGTAGCTGTAACACCTGCTGGATTGCCAGCGAATGTCGTCACTGTGCATTTGTGTCTTTCAAATTATATATATAAAGCTTGAGCTATAGCATTAAAAATGTTTTATATTGCACTAAAGAAAAAAAGTTTTGTACTAAGAACTGGAAGTCCCCTATAATTATGTTTTCAGATATCCTGAGAAGGAAATTTGGAAATTTGCTTTGTGCTTGAAATTCTGTCTCATGTCAGAAATCCTGAGTTTAGTTTCCACCCTTAGGTTGAATCCTGTGAAACTACCAATATGTAACTATTTTTTTTTACATTTTATTTGAACAGCAGAGAGACAGAGACAGACACAGAAAGAGATCTTTCATCTACCCATTCAAATGCCCTCAATAGCCAGAGCTGAGCCAGGCTGGAGCCAGGAGCCCAGAACTCAGTCTAGGTTTCCCATGTGCGTGGCATGGCAGGGACCCACGTACATGGGCCACCATCTTGCTGCCTCCTGGTGCACCTTAGCAGGAAGCTGGATGGGAAGCAGAGGCAGGACTCAAACACAGGCACTCTGATATAAGATGTGGTTGTCAGAAGCAGCATTTTAATTGCTATACCAAACACCCGCTCCATTCATCTGTGTTTTTTTTTTTTTTTTTAAGATTTATTTTATTTATTTGAAAGACAGAGTTACAGAGAGGGAAAGACAAAGAGAAAGGTCTTCCATCCGCTGTTTCATTCCCCAAATGGCTGTAAATGGAGCTGAGCCGATCTGAAACCAGGAGCCAGAAGCTTCTTCCAGATCTCCCACATGGGTGCAGGGGCCCAAGGACTTGGGCCATCTTCTGCTGCTTTCCCAAGCACATTAACAGGGAGCTGGATTGGATGTGGAGCAGCCAGGACTCAAACTGGTACCCATTTAGGATGCCAGTGGTGCCCACATTGCGGGCTGGGGCTTTAACCTGCTGTGCCACAGTGCCAGCCTCTATTTATCTCTTTTCACTCATAAAAAAAAAATCCTCTTAATGAAACTGAGCCTAATTGATGTGCCATTAAGGAAATTATTTTATGTATCTGTCCCTCAGTTTCCTCAAAATGAAAAGAATAACTCTTTCACATATAGATGTAAAAATTAAATAAAACTAAAGTTTTATAGAAAATTTTGGTATTTTTATTATAATGAAAATTCTTTGTCTTTTTAAAAGAATTATTTCTTGGCCGGCGTCGCGGCTCACTAGGCTAATCCTCCACCTAGCGGCGCCAGCACACCGGGTTCTAGTCCCGGTCGGGGCACCGGATTCTGTCCCGGTTGCCCCTCTTCCAGGCCAGCCCTCTGTTGTGGCCAGGGAGTGCAGTGGAGGATGGCCCAAGTACTTGGGCCCTGCACCCCATGGGAGACCAGGAGAAGTACCTGGCTCCTGCAATCGGATCAGCGCGGTGCGCCGGCTGCAGCGCGCCGGCTGCGGCGGCCATTGGAGGGTGAACCAACGGCAAAGGAAGACCTTTTTCTCTGTCTCTCTCTCTCACTGTCCACTCTGCCTGTCAAAAAAAAAGAGTTATTTCTTAATTTGAAAGGCAGAGTGACAGGGAGAGAGATCTTCCATCTGCTGGTTCACTTCCTAAATGGCTTCAACAGCCAGTGCTGGGCCAGGCTGAACCCAGGAGCCTAGAACTCCATCCAGATCTCCCACGTGGCTGGCAGGAGCCCACGTACTTGTGCCATCCTCTTCTGCTTCTACTAGCAAGGAGCAGGATCTGAAGCAGACTAACTGGGATTTAAACCAGCATTTTCATATGGGATGCTGGTGTCATAAGCAGTGGTTTAACCTGCTGTGCCACAATGCCGGCCCCTATAACAAATTCTTAAATTAGTTTGTGAAAGTTCCTCGTATCAAAATGAAGTCACTTAGGTCAAACCCTAACAGACTTGAGACGAGGATACATACCTATGATAAGTACTAGTGCCAGGATCTCTGAAAACCACAACCTTGCACAAGGCCACTACAGCCTTACAAAAGTTTCCCTGCCCAGCATCTGCCTGCTGCGGCAGTGGACTGAAGCCACCCTTGTTACAATGAAGGGTAATTACCACACAGCAACGACTGCCACCTGCCTCACGGGGCCTGCCTTTGCCTCCCTGGATACTCGCTGGTCCCCCGTGGCAGGCACATCCCAGATTGCAATCCCTTGATATTCCAGAGTAACTTCGTTTTGGAGAGCCCGGTTGGGGCACCAGATTCTGTCCCGGTTGCTCCTCTTCCAGGCCAGCTCTCTGCTGTGGCCAGGGAGTGCAGTGGAGGATGGCCCAAGTGCTTGGGCCCTGCACCCCATGGGAGACCAGGAGAAGCACCTGGCTCCTGGCTTCAGATTGGCATGGCGCGCCCACTGCAGTGTGCTACTGGAGCGGCCATTGGGGAGTGAACCAATGGAAAAGGAAGACCTTTCTCTCTGTCTGTCTCTCTCTCACTGTCCACTCTGCCTGTCAAAAAACAAAACAAAACAAAAAAGATACAAATTATATGTGGAAAATGTTACACAATTATTTGTTAAGTTAATGGTTCCAGTAAGATAGATTTATCTAGAAATTTCTTAGCAGGAAGTGAAAGCAGAATAGTCAGTGGCTGTGGTTTTGCCTGTCACTGTGCCTCTGCTATAAGTGTAGTTGGTCTTTGACCTCAGTTCCTGGCCAGAGTTCTTAAAACCCGTGGGGTTTCTTGAGTCATAGAAAAGTCTTACTGTTTATCGTGAGCTGATTTCCGTCATGTAGTACAGAGTTTATATTAATGAGGTGACCTGAGTGGGGCCTTTTAACATAGCCTGAGGATGGGGTTGGTCAGCAGAAAGACCAAGTGATTGGAGGAAAGTTCGAGATTAAGCCCTACCCAAGCTCATACACAGCGAGATTTGATGAGCTTCTGGGTCAGTGAGCACATTCATGTGCTGGCAGGCTGGGGAGCCCCAACTCCACGGGGACAAGGCCCCTGTATTTGGGACCATGCTGAACCTCACTTCCTGTGCCTCTTCATCTGTAGCCTTTTATAATAAACTAACGGACATAAGTGAAGTGTTTTCCGGGTTCTGTGAGCTATTCCAGTACATCATCAAACCCGAGGAAGGGGTTGTGGGGGACTGTAGGTTTATAGCCAGTTTGTCAGAAATCTAGGAGGTCCAGCCTTGCCCTGGCATCTGAAGGCGGGTGTGGTCTTGTGTCCCTGAGCCTGTGGATCCTGGCAACTAAGCTAACTCCAGCTACAGAGTGTCAGAACTGAGCTGAACTGTAGGACCTCCAGCTGGACGGCGTGGGAGGAGAGCATCTGTGGTGTGCCGACTGTGCTATGGAGGGTGGAGGCAGTGTCTTCCTCAGAGAGCAGGATGGGAGACTTAGCAGAGGGGACAAAGCTGAGGATGCTTGGGAACAGGTGTCAGAAAAGCAGAAGAGGAATTCAGGAAGAGCACAGAGCAACGGTGTTTGGTGAAGACAAACTCATCTCATGGTAGCTTTTTTTTTTCTTTTTTTAAAGATTTTATTTATTTGAGACATAGAGTTACAGAGATGGAGAGAGAGAGAGAGGTCTTCCATCTGCTGATTCACTCCCCAAATGGCTGCAATAGCCGGAGCAAGCCTATCCAAAACCAGGAGCCAGGAGCTTCTTTTGGGTCTCCCACGTGAGTACAGGGACCCAAGCACTTGAGTCATCTTCTACTGCTTTGCTAGCCATCAGCAGGGAGCTGGATTAGAAATGGAGCAGCCAGGACATGAACCAGCACCCATGTAGGATGCTGGTGACATAGGGGGAGGCTTAGCCCACTGCAGCACAGCGCCGGCCCCTCATGGGTTTTTATACAGGCTTCACTAATCAACAACTGTTACATCCAGCAGATATTCACCCTGTACACCTTCCTGTGCATTAAATACTTGAATGAACTGAGAGGCCATTTACAGCTACTACTTGCAAACTGCCATTTATTTTTTTTGTGGCAGTTGAACCACAAAACAAATTAAGGTGGTTGATTTTTTAAAAAATATTTTATTTCTTTGAAAGGCAAAGTTACAGAGACAGAGGGAGACACACACACACACACACACACACACACACACACAGAGAGAGAATCTTCCATCCACTGTTTCACTCTCCAGATAGCCTCAATGGCTAGGGCTCAGCCAGGCCGAAGTCAGGAGCCAGAGCTTCATTCAGGTCTCCCATGTGGGTGAAGGGACCCAAACACTCTGCTGCTTTTCCCAGGCCATTAACAGGGAGCTGGATTGGAAGTGGAACAGCCAGGACTTGAACTAGTGCTCATATGGGATGCCAGCACTGCAGGTGGCAGCAGCCCCAAGGTGGTTGATCTTGATCACTTTCAGTGATTTATTAAATTTTTACCATAATTGTTCATACCTTAAGAAAAAGTTATAAAACCTTTATGGTAAGGGGTCTTTCTAGATACTTTTTTTAAACAACTGTCCCTGGCTGGCGCCGTGTCTCACTTGGCTAATCCTCCGCCTTCGGCACTGGCACCCCAGGTTCTAGTCCCGGTTGCTCCTCTTCCAGTCCAGCTCTCTGCTGTGGCCCGGGAGGGCAGTGGAGGATGGCCCAAGTGCATGGGTCCCTGCACTCACATGGGAGACCAGGAGGAAGCACCTGGCTCCTGGCTTCGGATCGGTGCAGTGCCGGCCGTGGCAACCATTAGGGGAGTGAACCAACAGAAGGAAGACCTTTCTCTCTGTCTCTCTCTCACTGTCTATAACTCTGCCTGTCAAACAAACAAACAAACAAACCGTCTCTAACTTCACAAGTAAGAAAACAGACACAGAAAAATTAAGAGCAATATAGTTCATTCTTAAAATTTTCATTTTATTTATTTATTTGAAAAGCAGAGAGAGAGAGAGATTGAGAGATTGAGAATGCTCCCATTTGTTGGCCTACTACCCAAATACCTGCAATGGCCAGGGCTGGGTTGGGGCTGAAGCTGAGGGCTTGGAACTCAAACTAGGTCTCTCATGTGGGTGGTAGGAGCCCAGTTCTTTAACCCATCGCTGCTGCCTCTCGGGGTCCACATTAGCAGGAAGCTTGAGTCAGGAGCTCGAGCCTGGTATCAAACCCAGGTACTTTGACGTGGGATACAGGTATCTTAACAACTAGACCAAATGCCTGAACCGTTATCATTGATTATTGATAGGGCCTAGAAAGCATATAACAGTGAAATACTAAATTGAAAGAGACCTTATGTTATTCTGTAATTAAACTATAAACAATTGTATCATACCTTCCTTAAATTTCTACGGTACATTTTAAGCATCATTAGTGAGAACTGCTAGGGTTTGTCCTGATTTTTATAGCTAAATGTTACTTTGGAATTGCTCAAAGATTTAAAAACTGAGGTACTTGAGTTCCTGCCACCTGCTTGGGAGACCATGACTGAGTTCCTGAGTCCTGGCTTTGGCCTGACCCAGCCCTGGCTCTTGCACACACCTGGGGAGTTATACCAGAGGATAAAAGATCTCTGTCTGTCTCTTTCTGTGCCTTTCAAATAAAGTGGGAAAAAATTATAAAAAATAAATCTTCTCTGCCTAGTGTTTTTTCTTACTAAGCATTTCCTCTATGTTGATATAGTTGAGGCATCACAACAAAGGGATATTTAGGGGCTGGCACTGTGGTGCACTGGGGTAAAACCCTGGCCTGCAGCACCTTCATCCCGTATGGGCAGCGGTTCGAGTCCCAGCTGCTCCTCTTCCTATCCAGCTCCCTGCTAATGCTCCTGGGAAAGCATCAGAGGATGGCCCAAGTCCTTGAGCCCCTCTACCCATGTGGGAGACCCAGAAAAAGCTCCTGGCTCCTGGCTCTGGATCAGTTCAGCTCCGGTTGTTGTGGTCATTTGGGGAGTGAACCAGTGGATAGAAGACCTCTCTGTCTCTTTCTCTGTCTCTACCTATATGTGTAACTCTTTCAAAAAAATAAAATAAATCTTTTAAAAAAAAAGGATAATTAGTTTTTTTATTTGGGAATTATTTTTGAAAGTTTGTTTTTAATATAAAAGGAAATAATAGTCTTTTTTAACTCTTTACAAATAAATGACAGAATTTTAATAAAACCAAAGAATGGTTTACTGTCCTAGTGACACTACTGAGTTGTTTATTCGTCTGCTTGGGCTGCCCTAACAACGCACTGCAGGCGGGGTGGTTTAAACGACACAGGGGTACACGACACAGTGGTAGACGCTGGAGGCCCAAGATCAAGGAGCTGGAAAATCTGAGCTCTGCTGAGGCCTCTTCTTGTGGCTCCCACACAGCCTCCACCTCCCCACGCCTCCGAGAGAGGAAGACAGACAGACAGAGACACAGAGACTTCACCTTGTTGTGTTAAGAAGGGAATTCCTAGTCTTATTTTAAATGGTTTGTATTTTATTTTAGGTAGTCCCACAGCTGGCAGATGGACACCTTTCCTATTTTCTTGGAGCTATAGGTATGCCCGGTTTAACTTCCTTGATTGGAATACAGGAAAAAGGTCATATATCTGCTGGATCTAATCAGACCATGGTTGTCAGTGGGGCTGCAGGAGCCTGTGGATCTTTGGCTGGGCAGGTAAACCTTCTGAGACTTTGTGTTTTTAAAGTAGTCATAATTGAATCTCTGGATACATGTGTATAATTTAAAATGCAAAATTGAATTTACAATTATTTCACACATTTCTACCCGAAATGTTATTACCTACTTAGACTCTATTAATAACAATATAAAAATGTAGATTTTTGTGTCTCAATCTCTGTTAGTCAAAAATGTGGTAAGTGTTGGAGCATCGTGCTCATTGCTTATAAGGAAGAGAATCGTGGAGAACCTGTTTGGAATTTCCTGAATTAAAACACACAACTCACATTTTAAAGAAATGTCGTCAAAAGCACTCTTTTGGTTCTAGAAATACAGTAAATATTTTGATAAAATTTTATAAAGTGCATTGTTTTATAAATAATGGTCTTTGTTGTGTGAAACTACTGGAAGAAAACATTTTATCTTAGCTGTGATTTTAGTTTTTTATGAGCCTGAAAAATATTGAATTGTAAGGTGATTGTTTTGGGTCTAACTATTCTTTTTATGAAATTATGTTTAAATTGTGAATGTTTCAGCTTTCAAACCAAGTCTAATTCTATTCAAATTTATCTTTTTTAAGGATGACACTGTGTCCTCAGTTCTTTTGGTTTCAAATTACTTAGGGCTAAAGGCAATATAATCTAACCCAAACTGTGATGAACACTGTCACATACTCATAATATCTTGTATGGTTTCACATTTTTACATTTAAATATGACACTATAAAGCCATTTCATTTTCAAAAACTTCTCCCTAGATTGGTCACTTGCTGGGCTGTTCCAGAGTGGTGGGAATTTGTGGAACACAAGAGAAATGCCTCCTATTGACCTCAGAACTGGGCTTCGATGCTGCAATTAATTATAAAAATGGCAATGTGTCAGAACAGCTCCGTGAATTGTGTCCAGCTGGAGTGGATGTGTACTTTGACAACGTTGGTGGTGACATCAGTGACGCAGTGATTAGTCAGGTTGCTTGCTGATTTCCTCTTATAGATTTGATTATTGCATTGTATTTTTTTTTTAAGATTTATTTATTTGAAAGTCAGAGTTATACAGAGGAGAGGCAGAGAGAGAGAGAGAGATCTTCCATCTGCTAATTCACTCCCCAAATGCTGCAAAGGCCCAGGCCAGGCCAGGCCAAAGCCAGGAGCCTCTTCTGGTCTCCCATGTGGGTACAGAGACCCGAGGACTTGGCCCATGTTCTGCTGCTTTTCCCAGGCCCATTAGCAGGTAGCTGGATGGGTAGTGGAGCAGCTGGGACTCAAACCCCTGCCCATAAGGGATGCCGGTGCTGCAGACAGTGGCTTTACCTGGTGCGCTGGCCCCTGTCTTCCTTATTTCTAGCTACTTAGAACTCTTCCATACAAATGATGGGGAAATCTTCAACAACAAACTTGATTAATTGGCAGTAAGGGATTCAGTATAGGAGTTGAAGAGGCTTGCACTGAGGCAGCCCTGAAATCAGTAAATATAGGAACAGGGTATATTACAGGGTATAATCATCCACTTTCTCTGTGCAGATGAATCAGAACAGCCACATCATTCTGTGTGGGCAAATCTCTCAGTACAACAAGGATGTGCCGTACCCTCCCCCACTGCCCCCAGTGGTCGAGGCGATCCAGAGGGAAAGAAACATCACGAGGTGTGTTCTCCTGTCTGCCTTCCGACTTCAAGGGGGTCTGGATCAGAGATGTATTTGTTCTTCATTTACAGCTTTTCCTTATTAAATAAAACTAAGATAGAATTTTTTTAGAGCCGGCGCCGTGGCTCAATAGGCTAATCCTCCACCTTGCGGCGCCGGCACACCGGGTTCTAGTCCCGGTCGGGGCACCGGATTCTGTCCCGGTTGCCCCTCTTCCAGGCCAGCTCTCTGCTATGGCCAGGGAGTGCAGTGGAGGATGGCCCAGGTGCTTGGGCCCTGCACCCCATGGGAGACCAGGAAAAGCACCTGGATCCTGGTTCCTGCCATCGGATCAGCGCGGTGCGCCGGCTGCAGCGGCGGCCATTGGAGGGTGAACCAACGGCAAAGGAAGACCTTTCTCTCTCTCTCTCTCACTGTCCACTCTGCCTATCAAAAAAAAAAAAAAAACAACACAAACAAACAAAAAAAAACCTATGGTTTAAAAAAAAAAAGATAGAATTTTTTTAAAGATTTATTTATTTTTATTTGAAAGGCAGAGTTACAGAGAGGCAGAGGCAGAAAGAGAGAGAGAGAGAGACAGACAGACAGACAGACAGAGAGGTCTTCCATCTGCTGGTTCATTCCCCAGATGGCTGCTCAGGCCAGAGCTGTACTGATCCGGAGCCAGGAGCCTGGAGCCTCCTCTGGGTCTCCCATGCAGGTACAGGGGCCCAAGAACCTGGGCCAGAAGATAGACATTTTTAAGTCAAGTTCAGTGTTTAGCTCCCTGAATATGGATACTTAACTGAGCTTGACTGGCCTGGGTCATGAGAGTAAAGGATGTTGCCCACAGAGTAAAAATCCCAGTGCTGTTAGTAACTGGGATTGTAGATGTTGGCCTGACAAAGACAGCAGCCGTCTACTACACTAACACTAGGACCAGAACTGTGAGTAAATCCGCAAGACTCAGTGTGGTTAAATCCTGCATGAGGATTCTGGAAGGATTTGAACTTGGACTCTTCCATCCTATTTTCTGATCATTATCTTTTTCCTCTCTACCACAGGGAAAGGTTTCTGGTGTTGAATTATAAAGATAAGTTTCAGCCGGGTATTCTACAGCTGAGTCAATGGTTTAAAGAAGGAAAGCTAAAGGTACAGTCTGCTTCTATTCTTTTATCAATGTAATTCTTCCCGCCTCTTGGTACTACTTTTATATTATTTGGATTCATTATAGCAAATATACTAGTTTCATTATAAAAATTCCCACAGAAGAGTACTGGGTATTGTTATTATTGGAGACAGAGAAATAAGATAAAGAGCAAGCTTTCATCTGTTTGGCTCACTGCCCAAATCCCCCCCAGCGGCCAGGACTGGGCTGGAATGAGGTCAGGGACTGAGAGCTCAATCTAGTTCTCCCACGTGGGTGGCAGGGATGCCACCACTTGAGCCAGCACCAGACATCAAACCCTGGCACTCTGATATCAGAGTCTCAATTGCCAGACACCACTCCTGAGTATTATAAATTAATTCTGCTTCCCAGACAAGTATAACCTAATTGAGAAAACTCTCACTGTTCCCTTTATCTGACATTTTGTTGAGCTTTACTTAACATAGGTTATGCAAGGGTACTTCAAGAAGTTTGTGGGAAAACAGCATCAAGAAAAGTTAAGGGACAGGTGTGTGGCTTTGCAGTAAGACTTTACCACTCGAGATGCCCGCATCCCGTGTGAGTGCCTGGGTTCAATATCTGGCTCTGTTCCTGATCTCAGCTTCATGTGAATGCAGACCCTGGAAAGCAGTGGCGACAGCTGAGGTGACTGGGATCTGCCACGTCGGGGACCTGGGTTGAGTTCCTCAGCTTCCAGCCTCATTGGCAGTTGTTGCGGGCATTTGGGAGCTCTGATTCTCTCAAAGAAGTAAATTTCTAAAAATTAAATTAAATTATTTTTGTGCAAAATTTTTGAAATTCCATGCATATGAGGGATCTTCAAATAGGCCAAGGAAAATATGTATTATGAAGAAGCTATGCATGGATTTCAGAATTTTTTTGCACTAAAATAAACTTTGGTTTTAATTCCGTTTTGCATGGAATTTTTGAAATATCTCGTGTTACAAAATTGGTAGACTTTTTCCCCTACCTAGGATATTCATGAATTTAATAAATATTTACAGAGTTACGTGTTAGAAGCTGTGGTTTCTTGCAAATCATATAAACACCTCCAGTACTCCTACCTCTTCACCATCATACTTCTTTGTGGCTGGACCGTCTGATGTATCTGTGTTGTTGGTTTACACCCGCTCTGACTAGGAAGTTCTTGAAATCCATAACTGTCAGGCAAAGCTGTATGTGTGTGCTCATGTACCTATTTTTTAAAAAGAGAATGAGTAGATTGTGACCTGCTACTAAATGCAAATCATTCAATGGAAAATAAGATATATATATTTTTTTAAATCAAATGATAGGAGGCTTTTCTGTGCTACTTGCATGAAATAAATAATTATCTATTTTTAGATAAAAAGTGCTAAACAGTGCTGCCTTTTGCAAAAATAGAAACAAATATAGGAACATTGAAGTTTGAGAAAGAATACTGAATCTGCCTATTTTGATTAACAGATCAAAGAAACTGTGATAAATGGATTGGAAAACATGGGAGGTAAGATTAATGTATATCTACATTCCCTTTTTTCTTTTAATGCTAACTCTCTGGTGTTTCTTCTTAGATTATTTACATAGATAAAACTGTCCTACAGGTTTCCTTAAGCTTAATCATACTCCATGAAAGTTCAGTTTAGTGTTATTTCAGAAGTATTGCTAGGCCAGTGTTGTGGCGCAGAGAGCTAATGCTGGCATCCTACATTGGAGTGCTGGTTTGATTCTAGCTGTGTACTTCCAGTCCAGCTTCCTGCTAATGCTCCTGGGAAGGCAGTGGAATATGACCTAAGTGCTTGGGCCCCTGCTCCCATGTGGGAGGTCTGGATGGAGTCTGTGGCTCCAGGTTTCAGCCTGGCCCAGCCCTGGCTGTTGCAGCCATTTGGGGAGTGAAACAGCTGACAGTCACCCTGTCATTCAAGTGACTAAATAATCTTAAAAAGAAAAAAATGGTATCGTTAACACATGTCAAATAGTAAAATAAGCATTTCTTTGGTTTGCCAGCTTATAAAAAATATAATTGTGAAAGTTATATAGCCCTCAGGTAACCTTTTCAGATTCCAGTTTTGAGGCATCTGAGATGATTTTAAGCAAATTTTCTTTTCTTTCCTTTTTTTTTTTTTTTGACAGGCAGAGTGGACAGTGAGAGAGAGACAGAGAGAAAGGTCTTCCTTTGCCGTTGGTTCACCTTCCAATGGCCGCCACAGCCGGCGCGCTGCGGCTGGCGCACCGCACTGATCCGATGGCAGGAGCCAGGAACTTCTCCTGGTCTCCCATGGGGTTCAGGGCCCAAGGACTTGGGCCATCCTCCACTGCCCTCCCTGGCCACAGCAGAGAGCCGGCCTGGAAGAGGGGCAACTGGGACAGAATCCAGCGCCCTGACCGGGACTAGAACCTGGTGTGCTGGCGCCGCAAGGCAGAGGATTAGCGCCGGCCAGCAAATTTTCAATATTTAATTTTTTTGCTTGACATCCATAGATTTACACATTATCTTTTCCTTTTTTTTAAAAAAAAGATTTATTTTATTTATTTGAAAGGCAGATTTATAGAGAGACAGTGGGAGAGATGGAGAAAGAGATCTTTCCTTGGCTGGTTCACTCTACAAATGGCTGCAATGGCCAGGAATGAACCAGGTCAAAGCTAGGAGCCAAGAGCTTCATCCGGGTCTTTCACATGGGTACAGGAGCCCAAGGACTGGGCCATCTGATACTGCTTTCCCAGGTGCATTAGTAGGGAGCTGGATTGGAAGGGGAGCAGTTGGAACTCGAACAAGCACCCATATGGGATGCTGGCATTGCAGGTAGAAGCTTTACCTATTACGTCACAACGCCGACACCAATCTTTTGCTTTTTTTAAGTGAAAAGGATTAAGTTAAACTTATTTTCCTTCAGAAAAAGAATTCTATATAAGTGACTTTTATTAAACAGAAATGCAAGTATATCACAAGTGTGCTTGTACTTATTTACTTAATAAAATGTTATGAGTTTATTTCTAATTTTTTAAATATTTATTTATTTGAAAATCAGAGTTACAGAAAAAGAGTGAAAGTCTTTCATCTGCTGGTTCATTCCCCAGATGGCCGCAATGGCTAGAGTAGGGCCAGGCTGAAGCCAGGAGCTTCATCTGGGTCTCCCATGTGGGCTGCAGGGGCCTAGGGACCTGGGCCATCTTCTGCTACTTTCCCAGACCATTAGCAGGGAGCTGGATCAGAAGTGAAGCAGCTGGAACGCGAACTGGCATCCAAGTAGAATGTTCGTGTTGCAGGCAGCGGCTTTACCCTCTATGCCACAGTACCGGCCCTTTTATGTCTAACTTTTAAGTTTATTTTCATATGAAAGGCAGAGAGAGAGAGACAGAAACAGACCTTCCATCCACTAGTCTATTCCCCAAATGCCCACATCAGCCATAGCTGGGCAAGGCTGAAGCCAGAAGCCCAGAACTCAGTGTAGTCTCTCACATGGGTGGCAGGTACCCACGTACTTGAGCCATTTTCTGTTGCATGCCAATGTGTGCATTAGCAGGAAGCTGGAATTGGAAGTGGAATGAACTCACGCACTCTGAAGACATCTGCTCCTGGTTGCTCAGATATTTGACAGTTATTTAAATATTGTTTCCACTGACATTTTATCCCTATATTTATTTGCCTCTAGTTTTCACTCTATAAACAATGAACATTTTCAGTTTAACTAAAAATAAATTTTTATTAAAAACAACTTTTAAAAGATATTAATTGGATTAGTTTGTTGTAACTTTGCCGTTTCTTTTTATGACAACTTCCTTCTATGAATATTAAAGTGGTGGAAAAAATTATTTAAACAAATTTTATGTGTCTGACCTCCTAAGACAAGTGTGATAGTGATACTTACCTTTCTCTTCCCAGCTGCGTTCCAGTCCATGATGACAGGAGGCAACATTGGAAAGCAGATAGTTTGCGTTTCAGAAGAAATCTCTTTGTAATTTCTGTGTGTGTTCCTCAAGGAAATCATACAGATTTATTTCTATTTTGCATAGAGATTCTTAAGTTGCGCCAAAAGCCTTAGAAAACAGATAGCTCTTGATTTCAGTGTGATCACAGGTAATCTTTTCTTAGTTGCAGAATTCTCTCCTGTGTCTCCAATGTCATACGTACTGTGTATCTAACATGATTACTTACAACAGATTGACATCAGTGATATATTTTTCTTTTTTGGATTAAAAAATCCATTTTTTGGGACATACTTAAAACACTTGGAGATTTGATCCAACTGTTAATAGATCATACACAGGAGGTTTTTAAAAATCAGTAACCTTGACTAATTTAAAATGGAATGCTTGAGGAGCAGTGAGTAAACATTTGGTCAGTTGGAAATGTTTTAGGCTGAAACTCAGCAAAGGAATAGACTGGGGTGGCTTTTCCGTGTTGTCAGTGGGAAGGGACTTGTTCTGCTGCGTACCTCGGGATTAGGGTGGAACAGGGATAGGAGAGCAGAGACTTTGGGTTGGGAGTAATATGAGAAGAAAAATTATTGAGGTCAGTTAGGTTGATGGAGAAAAGAGATTTACTCCAGAGGAAGATATATTTGTATTTTGCCAGATAATTTTGGCATATAGCCTAAAAACTGAATATGTAAGATAAAAACATGTTTATCTTAGGGTAGCAGGCATATATGTCAAATAGTTGTAAAGATTTAGGGGCCAAATAGATACAGACATCATTTGGAGTTTTAGGTGATGAAAAAGATGAAGACAGCAGAGAGCTTCAGAAAATGACAGGGCTGGGCAAATTAACACATGGTTGCAAATGTGAATGTTGAAGACTTTACCAGTGTGCTCCTACAGGTTTGTTTTATTAATTGTAATCAACTCTTCAAGAACAGTAAAACTCAAGATGTTTTCCTGAGTGTTGTGGTTTATGGTCAGGGGTTTACACACTGCCAGTGTAACTTTGTATGCAACATTGGTTGTAAGTTGATTGAAATTGTGTTGGTAATCACTCGAGTTTCCTTCTTGTTTTACTTATACTTTCATTGGACCATTTAATCTCCTCTGGGAGCTTCATCTCTTCTCTGCACGTTTGTAACTCCCAAATCTCTCCAGATATTTATCTCCAAGTAAACAGCCCCTTAGCACCCCACATTTCGCTCATATAAGAGCAGTTATCATGGCCATCGTTGTGGCACTGAGGGTTAAGGCTCTGCTGCTTACAGTGCCACCCTCTGGTATCAGAGTGCTGGTTTGAGTCCTGGCTGCTTACTTCTGACCCAGCTCCCAGCTAATGTGCCGGGGAAGGCAGCATATGGTGCTTCAGGTGCTTGGGTTCCTGGCCTTGGCCCAGTCCAGCCCCAGCCCTTGCTGTCCTTCGGAGAGTGAACTAGAGGATGGAAGATCTCTCTATCTGTCTCACCCTCTCTGACACTCTTTCTTTCAAATTTAGTAAATAAGGGGTTGGCGCAGTGGCATAGCCAGTAAGGCCACCACCTATAGTGCTGGCTTCCCATATGGGCACCAGTTTGAGACCCAGCTACTCTTCTGATCCAGCTAATCTAATATGGCCTGGGAAATAAGTAGAAGATGATCGAAGTTCTTGGGGGCCCTGCACCTGCGTGGGAGACCCAGAAGAAGCTCCTGGCTCCTGGTTTCGGATGGGACAAACTATGGCCATTATGGCCATTTGAGGAGTGAACTAGTGGACGGAAGATCTCCCTCTCTCTTGCTCTGCCTCTGCCTCTCTGTATCTGCCTTTCAAATAAATAAATGGATCTTAAAAAATTAGTAATTTTTTTAAAAGGATTTATTTGAAAGGCAGAGTTTGCAAAGAGATAAGGAGACAGAGAGAGATTGATCTTCCATCCACTGGTTCACTTCCCAAATGGCTGAAATGACCGGCTGGGCCAGTTGGAAGCCAGGAGCCAGGAGTTTCTTCTGGATCTCCCACGTGGGTGGAGGAGCCCAAGGGCTGCCATCTGCTTTCCCAGGCACATTAGCAGGGAGCTGGATTGGAGGTGGAGCAGCCGGGACTCAAAACTGGTGCCCATATGGGATGCCCACTATGCCACAATGCTGGGCCCAATAAATAAATCTTTTTTTAAAAAAGAGAAGTTGTCTTCTGTGTGAAATGTTTCTTCGTTAAATTGGTTATTTCTGTACTCAAACTACTCCTCCTTCACCCTTTTATATGCATGTCATCAAAGCTTTTTTTTTTTAAGATTTATTTATTTATTTGAAAATCAGAGTTATGCAGAGAGAGGAGAGGCAGAGAGTGAGAGAGAGGGGTCTTCCATCTGCTGGTTCACCCCTCAGTTGGCTGCAACTGCTGGAGCTGTGCCTGAAGCCTGGAGCCAGGAGCCTCCTCCAGGTCGCTCACGTGGGTGCAGGGGCTCAAGGACTTGGACCATCCTTTACTGCTTTCCCAGGCCACAGCAGAGAGCTGGATCGGTCGGCACTGCGGGGGGCGGCTGCACCCACTAAGCCACAGTGCTGGTTCCCAAAGCTTATTTTTAACCTTTAAAAATTCCCTTTTATAGGGAAGGAGGAAAGTATCATTATATTCTTAGAATCCTAAGTATGAAATACATGAAATCTGTTCTCTTTATAATAATAAGTTTTAAAAACGTTTTTAAAAATTCTCAGAGAACACTTTTAGCTCTGTCACTGTTTAAGTATTCAAAAATCAGTAATTTGAAGAAGTCAAACTCATAAAGCTCTACCAAGTGGTGGCATCTAGCCTGGAACTCAACTGTTCTGTCGTCCGGTTGGGACATCCTAATATATGAAACCTTAGGCTCGAGAGAATTCAAGATCCCCTCTCCAACAAATAAATTCTGCGCGTGACTCAGTGAATACCTCGTCCCGTACGCAGTGCAGAACTTGATCCTGCAGGTTCCCCTCTCGGCGGCGAAGCGGCAAGGTCCTCCTCACTGACAGCTTTAATAAATGCTTAGGTCGCGATCCTTTTCTCATTTCCCTCCACTAACTCCTCAGCCCCCGAGGAAAGCGACCCCCCACTTCGGCTGCGGGGAGGCGGCGACTGCTCGGCTACACCCCGCGGGTCCGTGTTTTCAGGCTGCGCGGACCAGGAAGGAGCCTCGAGGGCCGAGGGGGACTGGCAGGAGGCGAGGGCCCGGGGCCCCTTCCGTCCCGGGGCCCAGCGGCGCCCTGCGAGCCGAGGGCCGCCCGCCCCCGAGGCGCGCGAGTGGGTGTGTGCGCGGGGGAGGGCGGCCAAACTTCCTGTCCCGCGCTCGAGCTGCTTCCGGCGGGAGCCGGAAGACGCCGTGTGTGGACGGGATTCGGGACTGACTGACGGCCGGCCGGCTGCCCGGGACGGGAGGTGAGCTCCGGGGTGAGCCGGCGCACACGCTCTGGCCTGGGTGGTCCCGGAGAGCGAAGGAGCCGGCACTGGCTCCCGGGGGGCTGGGGCTGAGTTCGCCCTCCGAGGGGACGAGGAAAACCGCCCCCTTCGGGCACCCCTCCCTGATCTGGCGGGCCCAGGAACGGCCAGTCGGCGGCCCCCAGGCTTCGGCCCTTCGCCTGCGGGGTCTTGGGGGCGATGTTTCGGTTGCTTTGCGTGGTGTTAGGGGCAGGGGTATGGGGACAGGACTGTCCTGAGGAAGCCAGAGTGTGGGCGCCCCCGGGGTCGGGGTTCGGGGCCTGCCGGCGGACCTTGGGGCCTTCGGCGATGTCTTTGTGGTGGGGGAAGGGGATGCCCTGGAGTCCCTGCCCTGCGTCTCGCCCCGCAGCCACCCTGTCCTTTCCTGCGGCCGCTGGCTCTCCGCGGCCGGACGAGGGACGGCGGCCGCCCAGCCCCTGCGCCCGGGGTTTGTCCTTCGCCTGTGAGCTCAGTCGTGGCTGCCGACCGTGGGTGTTTCTAGCCCGTATTCATTTCGCCGGTGGAATTTGTCCTCTGAAGTTACTTAGGGGAGGAGAATCCACTTAGTTTGTTGAAGTTTATCACAACGTCATGACGCTGGACAATGCGTACGGGCACTGTTTAGAAGTTAAATATTATTAAACTTGGGACTTACGAATTCTTAGCGGTAGCAAGTTTGCAGATAATACATTTTTTAAAAACAAAATCTGATCTTAGTGTGGTGCAGAATAAAGGACAACTAATGTAGCAGTCAGTAGATTGAGGTTCTAGCTTAAGCTTTGCATCTGGGTAGCTGTCTAATTTTCGGCAAATTAATTCCCAGCTTTGGATGGTTTATCTCTGTAAAGGAAGGGGTTTGCCTTTAGAGAATTGGCCATTCTGAGGCACCAGACCTTGGTAAGGAGAGTGACGGTAATACTTCTGCGTTTTGTAAAGATAGCTAGAGGGCTGCATGAAAGATGGGTTGGACAGGGGAATTTTAAAGTCAGGGTGACCAGTTAGAAACCTGTTTTGGTAGTGTGGTTGAGAGACCTGAAGAAGGCATTACATTTTAACTTAGGAGTAAGTTTTTAGAATGAAGAATCACTGGGGTTATTTAAATACAGAGAATGAGAAAGATTGTTAAAGACCTGGAATTTGCAGCTGAGTGGGAGGAGGATTGGGCAATAAATTGCAGTGGATCACACAGGAAGAACAGGTTTGGTGGCAGAGACGATAATCTAGATTTTGGACTGTGTTAGGTTTGACATACTGTTGGTATGCATACATGTGGGGATGCCCATCAAGCAGTTAGAAATGAAGGTTTGAAGGTAAGGAATTAAGTCGGGACCAGAGGTGAACATTTGTGTGTCATTCACAGTGTCATTCATTCATTATGCAAATATTTACTGCCTGCTGGATACTTCCAGGGGAGCTTCTGCAGACGTCTGCTAAGCTCATAGTATAGACAACCTTGAAAGTGAAATGACTGCTAATGGTACAGGGTTTCTTTTGGGGGTGATGAAAATGTAAAATTGATTGTGGTTGTGGTTGCACAGCTCTGAATCCACTAAAGGCAATTTAATTGTACTCTTTTTTTTTTTTTTTTTTTGGACAGGCAGAGTTAGAGAGAGAGACAGAGAGAAAGGTCTTCCTTCCATTGGTTCACCCCACAAATGGCTGCTATATCCGGCGCGCTGCGCTGATCTGAAGCCAGGAGCCAGGTGCTTCCTCCTGGTCTCCCATGCAGGTGCAGGGCCCAAGGACCTGGGCCATCCTCCACTGCCCTCCCGGGCCACAGCAGAGAGCTGGACTGGAAGAGGAGCAACTGGGGCAGAACCCGCGCCCCAACCAGGCCTAGAACCCAGGGTGCCGGCGCCGCAGGCAGAAGGGAGGATTAGCCTACTGAGTCGCGGCACCGGCCTAATTGTACTTTTTAAATGGCTGACCTCTATCTCAGTGACACAATCATTTTAAAAAAGATATGCAGTGCAGTTTTTGAAATCTATTAAGTGGATAATGGAATTGGGGATAGGAACAAATATAATTGTGCATTTTCCTTTACACTATCAGCTAATGTACATAGCAAATATTAGGTTAAAGATGAAATCCACATAGGACACTTGCTAGGTACTAAGTGCTCATGTACAGATTCTTATGAGTTCTGCCTACCTGTCCTGTTGTATCCTATGACTGTCTCTTTTGTTTACATAGTATATATACAAATTCTAAACCTGGCCATGAAAATTAAACATCAAAATTATCTGTCATAACCTGGATGCTCAGTGGTTTCAGAAAATACTTATGTTAATTTTAAAAGATTCTTATTAAAATGAAGACACTAAAATAAAAAGATGTCATATATAACATAAAAATCATTAAAATAGGTTTCTTAGTTTGAGTCCTGGGATCTCAAGGTTGGAGGAACTTTAAGGATGAACTAAACAAACATCCGGTGATTTCTTGGCTTGTGAGATGAACTGGAATTGGGGTAGATTTCTTAAACTCTGAAATTCAAGATCAGATTAGAGAGATATATAATCACTATTCATTCCAGCCTACTCTGTGGGTGAGAATCCTGGTTCTGCAGCTTAATAACTTGGACAGATGATATAATGAACCTTGATTCCTTCTCTTTAAAAAGGAGGATTAATAAACCACATTAAACTGTTGCAGCACTTGAATAATAAAAATGTCTGTGGAAAGAAAAGGTGGAATTTATGATACTTGTTGTGGAAACCTTAAAAGAGAACTTTTGGGGCCAGTGTTGTGATGCGGTGGGCTAAGCTGTCACTTGAGATGCCCACTTCTCATGTCAGAGTGCCTGGGATTGATCTGCCTCTGCTTCTGATCTAGCTTTCTGCCAGCGCACATGGGAGGCAACAGATGGCCCAGGTATTTGGGTTTCTGCCACCCATGTGGATGACCCAGCTGGTGTTCCTGGCTCCTGGCTTTATGCTGGCACAGTCCCAGGTGTTGTGGGCATTTGGGAAGTGAACCAGCAAATGGAAGGTATCTGTCAATCTTGCTTTGTTACTTTCAAATAAATAAAACTTTGGGGCTGGTGTTGTGGCGTAGCAGGTTAAACCTCCTCCTGCATCTTTGGCATGCCTTATGGGCTGATCCGCTTCTGATCCAGCTCCCTGCTAATGGCCTGGGAAAGCAGCAGGAGATGGCCCAAGTGTTTTGGCCCCTGCCACCTACGTGGGAGATCTGGAGGAAGCTCCTGGCTACTAGCTTTGGCCCTGGCCATTGCGACCATTTTGGGAATAAACCAACTGATGGAAGATTCTCTAACTCTGCCTTTCAAAAAAAAAAAAAAACCCTTAAAAAATTTCAAGAAGGCACTGTAAAAAAAAAAAAGCACTGTCATTTATATTGTAAATTGTTATGTCTTAACAGTGAAAAATGGCCTGCGCCGTGGCTCACTAGGCTAATCCTCCACCTTGTGGCGCCGGCACACCGGGTTCTAGTCCCGGTCGGGGTGCCGGATTCTGTCCTGGTTGCCCCTCTTCCAGGCCAACCAACTCTCTGCTATGGCCCTGGAGTGCAGTGGAGGATGGCCCAAGTCCTTGGGCCCTGTACCCGCATGGGAGACCAGGAGAAGCACCTGGCTCCTGGCTTTGCATCAGCGTGATGCGCCAGCCGCGTCGGCCATTGGAGGGTGAACCAACGGCAAAGGAAGACCTTTCTCTCTCTCTCTCTCTCACTGTCCACTCTGCCTGTCCAAAAAAAAAAAAAAAAAAAAAAAAATTAAAAATGAAGATTTTAGTCAGTAGAAAGAGAGTAGGGGGGCCGGCGCCGTGGCGCAGTAGGTTATTCCTCCACCTGCGGCGCCGGCATCCCATATGAGTTCCAGTTCTAGTCCCAGCTGTTTCTCTTCCAATCCAGCTCTCTGCTGTGGCCTGGGAAAGCAGCAGCAGATGGCCCAAGTGCTTGGGCCCCTGCACCTGCATGAAAGACCCGGAAGAAGCACCTGGCTCCTGGCTTCGGATCAGTACAGCTCTGGCCTTTGTGGCCATTTGGGGAGTAAACCAATGGAAGGAAGACCTTTCTCTGTTTCTCCCTCTCACTGTCTGTAACTCTACCTTTCAAATAAATAAAGAAAATCTTTAAAAGAGAAAAAAGAGAGGTAGGAACCAACGGACAATAAACTTTTATGTAGGTATTTCCAAATGCCCCCCCCCCCTTTAAAGATTTATTTGGAAAGCAGAGTTGCAGAAAAGTAGAGGCAGAGAGAGAGAGAGGTCTTCAATCCACTGGTTTACACCCCAAATGGCTGGAGTGGAAGCCAGGAGCCTGGAGTTTCTTTTGGGTTTCCCACGTGGGTAAGGGGCCCAAGGACTCAGGCCATCTTCTACGGCTTTCCCAGGCTGTATAAGCAAAGAGCTGGATTGGAAATGGAGCAGCCGGGTCTCGAACCAGCACCCTTACAAGATGCCAGCACTGCAGGTGGTGGCTTTACCTGCTACACCACAGTGCTGGTCCCCTAGATGCCCTTTTTTTTTGATAACGTCTGTTATTTTAACTTTACTCTGAGTACATTTTATACTGTCCTTCAATGATTATAGACAACAGTGCTCCCATTTTTTTTTTTTTTTTTTTTGACAGGCAGAGTGGACAGTGAGAGAGACAGAGAGAAAGGTCTTCTTTTTGCCGTTGGTTCACCCTCCAATGGCCGCTGCGGCCAGCGTGCTGCGGCCGGCGCACCACGCTGATCCGAAGCCAGGAGCCAGGTGCCTCTCCTGGTCTCCCATGCAGGTGCAGGGCCCAAAGACTTGGGCCATCCTCCACTGCACTCCTGGGCCACAGCAGAGAGCTGGCCTGGAAGAGGGGCAACCGGGACAGAATCTGGTGCCCTGATTGGGACTAGAACCCGGTGTGCCGGCGCCACAGGTGGAGGATTAGCCTGTTGAGCCGCAACGCCGGCCAAGTGCTCCCAATTTTAGCATTAATTGTGCTACATTAAGTGGACTTGCATGTGAAAATCTAGAAAAAAAATTAAGCTGTAAGACAGAAAGGGTTTTATTATAGAGGGTGCCCTTTGTGTGTGCAGTGGGTTAAGCTGTTGCTGGGAGATGCCTGCAACCCATATCAGAATACTGGTTCAAGTCCCAAATACTCTAGTTCCAATCCAGCTCCCTGCTAATGCAGCCATGAAGTGGTGGATGATGGCTCAGGCACTTGAGCGTCTTCTTTCACCCACATGGAAGACCAGATGGAATTTATGGCTCCTGGCTTCAACCTGGCCCAGCCCTGAGTGTTGTGGCTATTTGGGAAGTGAGCCACAGGGTGGAAGATCTCTCTGTCACTCTGCCTTTTAGAGAGATAGATAAAATCTTTTTTAAAAGTTTAGGGTCATCATCAGGGGCCTGAGAGTTCAGTTTTTTAAAAAGATTTTCAGGAGCTGGGAACTCAATTCCTATCTCACACGTGGGTAGTAGGGACCCAAGTACTCGAATCGTCGCCTGCTTGCCACCTGCCAGGAAGCTGGAATGGGAGCTGAGCTGGAACTTCAACTCTTTTCTTCTTTGATGCATTCTCTTGACAGGCAGAGTTAGACAGTGAGAGAGAGAGAAAGGTCTTCCTTTTCCGTTGGTTCACTCCCCAAATGGCGCTACGGCCTGCACGCTGTGCCGATCGGAAGCCAGGAGCCAGGTGCTTCCTCCTGGTCTCCCATGTGGGTGCAGGGCCCAAGCACCTGGGCCATCCTCCACTGCCTTCCCGGGCCACAGCAGAGAGCTGGCCTGGAAGAGGAGCAACCGGGACAGAACCCGGGGTGTCGGCGCCGCAAGCAGAGGATTAGCCAAGTGAGCCGCGGCGCTGGCCTGGAACTTCAACTCTTATAATCTGATGTGGGATGTGGGCGTCCCAAGCACTCTCTTAACCACGGTTCTTTTTCGTCACATATAGTAAGATGAACATCTTTGGACATACAGCTTTTCCATATTTAAGACTTTCTTAGAGCAGATTATTGGACTTAGAAATTCTGCATCTGAGCAGAATGTTTTTGTGGGTTTGACTACCCCACTGGGCTTGTTTTTTAGAAAAACCTAATTATTATTTTTAAATTTATTTGAAAGAGAGATCTTCCATCTGCTAATTCACTTCCTTAGATGGCTCAACAGCCAGTGCTGAGCTGGGCTGAAGCCAGAAGCTAGAAGCTTCATCAGGGTCTCCCTGATGAGTCCAGGGGCCCAAGCACTTGGGCCAACCTCTGCTGCTTTTTCCAGGCCATTAGCAGGGAGCTGGATTAGAAATGGAGCAGCCAGGACTTGACCGGTGCCCTTATGGGGTGCTGATATTGCAGGCAGCAGCTTTACCCGTTACACCACAACACTGGCCCCGGACTTGTTGTATTTTAAAATAAATGTTTTGGCCTACATTCCTTATTTTCTTGCTTGTGATTTTTTGTTATATAAAGAAGTGCCTTTGTTTGCCACATTTTCCCACTGCTTTTAACATTCTTTATCTCTCTTTTTCACCCCTATTTTAGGTTAAATTGATTATCTACCCAGTGCAGGATCTTACAAGAACAGCATAGTGTTTCCTGAAGGAATATGAGCAAAACCAGACAGTATCATTGACTGAATAAATTTGTACTTGTCCCCTGAACGGCTACAAGATTTGGAAGCTGAATCAATGTTATCAGATGAGTTAGAATCCAAACCAGAGGTGAGTCTAGTCAGTTTGATTCTTGGTTTTGTTATGTTTGGTGAACTGTATTTCAGAGCTTATCATTAGTTTAGGGTCAGCACACTTTTTCTGTAATGGGTCAGATAGTAAGAATTTTAGGCTTTGTTAGCCCGAAGTTTTATTTGTAACTTCTAGTTTATTTTATGTGTGTGTGTGTGTGTGTGTGTATGTATGTGTATTAGGATGTTTACTATATATTTATTTATCTATTTGAAAGAGATAACAGAGAGAGATCTTCTGTCTGCTGGTTCAATCCTCAGATAGCTGCAGTGGCTAGCGATGGGCCAGGCTGAAGCTGGGAGCTTTATCCAGGTCTCCCACATGGAGACCATTAGCAGGGAGCTGGATCAGAAGTAGAGCAGCTGGGACATGAACCATAGCCCATATGATATGCCAGCATCATAGGCGCAGCTTTATCTGCTATACCACAGTTCCAGCCCCTATGTTTTTATTATAAGTATTTTCTCAAAGACTTAAAAATGCGATTGTTTTATGATTTTTATATAGATTATTTAAGTATAAAGTTATGCATTTAGCTATATAACAAGATTTTATTTTATATAAAAACATATACATGCATCATGTAGTGTGTATAAATGTATATGCATATATAGATACTACCACAAACCATTCTTTTATTAATTTTGCATATATTTGAAAATACTTTCTTTCTGAATGTGATTGGGAAATTTAAGCATTTTTTATTTTCATTAATTTTTCTCAATTTTAGTGCATCTATGTTGCATAATGGGAAGGTCCCAGAGTTTGGAATTAGATTGCTTATGTTTGAAGATTGGTGCTGCTCCTACCTAGTCTTGGGAACTTAAACTAGTGTTACTTAATGTCTTCAACTTGATTATTCATCTATAAAATACCATGGTTTAATGTGAGAAATAAATGAGCCAATACACAAAAATGTGCTTTGTAAAATGTAATTCAGTACATTGTAGTTGACTTTTTTAATAGCCATCATTAAAAATATTTTTTGTCATTTTTATGTGATGGAAAGCAACAGTTAATTGTATAAATCAGTCTTTCTCAAATGGAAAACTTCGAAAGATATCTTTAAATACTATATTGTGATTAATCTAGATTTTCTTTGAACATGGCTACAACTAGTGAACCATTGGGATTTAATTACATCTTCACCTTTTGTTACATCCAGGGATTTATATGCATTCCTAATGGTCTTTATTTTTTAATGTTGTCTTTTGCTCTTCTCACCCAGCTCCTGGTACAGTTTGTTCAGAATACGTCCATCCCGTTGGGACAGGGGCTAGTAGAATCAGAAGCTAAAGACATAACTTGCTTGTCCCTCCTTCCGGTGACTGAGGCCTCAGAATGCGGCCGACTAATGTTACCAGGTAAAAATTATCCTTACTCGCTAGAGATAGGATAAAGAAGTCCCAAGAGCTTAGCCTACCCCATGGTCTGGTGGAATGGATAACTGACTGGTGGAAACTGTAAAAATAGGAATCATGGAGAAAATCAGTCATGGGAGTTGTAAGAACATCAGCAGTTTAAGCCATGGGAATGTATATGATGACCCATAGAGAGTGAGAAAAAAGGGCCAAGGCGGGACTCTGTGGAACTCCTTATTTAACATACAGGATAAAGCCAGGAGACCATGGAAAGAATGGGAAAAGACAAGACTAGGCCAGTAGAATGAATATCCTCATAGAGTAGAGGCTTGGAACCCAAAAGAAGTCGATGTGTCGAATGCTCCTGAGAGGCCTCAGTAAAATAGAGAGTAAAAAGAGGCCATAGTTGACCTTGGCAGGACCTGTTCCAAGGTGAAGCAGGTGGAAAGCCAGGCTGCCATGAGCTGAGGTATCAATGCAGACTAAGTAAGTATATACTTTATAAGGTTTCTTCTGCCCTGAGAAGGGGAAGAAGTAAGATAGAAGGAAGTTTCTGTGTCTTCAAGATCTGAGTTATTTGAGGGTAGTTATACGCTAATAGGAAACCGAACTAATTAAAGAAACAATAGAAAAAGGTAGTGGATAATTGGTAAGGAGGCTCCAGGAGAAATAAGAGGAAGTAGAATTTTGTGGGATTAGCTTTGGATGAGAAGAGGGACTCTGATTTGACTATTAGCTTGGGAAACATTATCTTTATGTGAAATTAGCTCTTCATATTCTGACCTTTGTTTTAAAGTTTGGAATATCAGTGTTAAGCTGGGGAGGGTCATTATTAGCCTATTGGTGACAACTTCATTTGTTTATTATAAAATCTCTGGTTACTATCCTCTTCTGTGGTCTGTGGTTTTTTTTTGTTTGTTTGTTTGTTTGTTTTTTAAAGATTTATTTATTTATTTGAAAGAGTTACACAGAGAGAGGAGAGGCAGAGGGGGGTGGTCGTCCATCTGCTGGTTCACTCCCAATTTGGCCACAACGGCCGGAACTGTGCCCATCTAACACCGGGAGCCAGAAGCTTCTTCCAGTCCCCCACACGGGTGCAGGGGCCCAACAACTTGGGCTGTCTTCTACTGCTTTTCCAGGCCATAGCAGAGAGCTGGATCGAAGTGGAGCAGCTGGGTCTCGAACCGGCACCCATATGGGATACCGGCGCTTCAGGCCAGGGCGTTAACCCACTGCACCACAGCGCTGGCCCATAGTCTGTGTTTTTTAAAATGACCTTAAGACTTAATTTTCAAAAATCCAAGAAGCACATTTAATTTAATCAGTTGGTGTTAATTTAAGGTTTCCCAGTCTAGATCCTGATTCTTCCACAACTTCCATTTCTCAACTCCTGTTTTCTGATAAGTTGGGAGTCATATTTTTCCAAATCCCTTGTGGATTTTCAGCATGTGAAAATTTCCAGGTGACAAATTTTGATCTTTGTTGGGTTCCTCCCAACTCTTCTCTCAATTTTAATTATTGAATATTGTTTTATTTTTATAATTATTCATTTCTTTTATTAAGATTTATTTTTATTTATTTATTTGAAAGAGTTACAGAGAGAAGTAGAAACAGAGAAGACAAAGGTCTTCCATCTGCTGGTTCACTCCCAGATGGCCACAACGGCCAGAGCTGCGCCAATTTGAAGGCAGGAGCCAGGAGCCTCCCCCGGGTCTCCCACGTGGGTGCAGGGGCCCAAGCTTGGGCCATCCTCTGCTGCCCTCCCAGGCCATGGCAGAGAGCTGGATTGGAAGTAGAGCAGCCAGGACTAGAACCAGCACCCGTATGGGATGCCGACACCTCAGGCCAGGGCTTTAACCCACTGTGTCACAGTGCTGACCCTGTTTTATGTGTGTGTGTGTGTGTGTGTGTGTGTGTGTTTTAAGATTTATTTGTTTATTTGAAAAAGTTGCCCAGAGAGTGGCGGGGGGTGGGGGAGGGGGCTTCCATCTGCTGTTTCACTCCCCAGATGGACGCAACAGCTGGAACTGGGCTGATCCGAAGCCAGGAGCTTCCTCCCAGTCTTCCACATGGGTGCAGGGGCCCAACAACTTGGACCATCTTCTACTGCTTTCCCAGGCCATAGCAGAGAGCTGGATCAGAAGTAGAGCAGCCAGGTCTCAAACTGGCGCCCATATGGGATGCTGGTGCTTCAGGCAAGGGCGTTAACTCACTGCGCTACAGCGCCAGCCCCTAATTATTGAATATTATAATAATAATAAAGGAAGGGGCCGGCGCCAGGGCTCACTTGGTTAATCCTCCGCCTGCAGCGCTGGTATCCCAGATGGGCACTGGGTTCTAGTCCCGGTTGCTCCTCTTCCAGTCCAGCTCTCTGCTGTGGCCCGGGAGGGCAGTGGAAGATGGCCCCGGTGCTTGGGAGACCAGGAGGAGGCACCTGGCTCCTGGCTTTGGATCGGCATAGCTGCGGCATAGCGGCCATTTGGGAGGTGAACCAACAGAAGGAAGACCTTTCTCTCTGTCTCTCTCTCTCTCACTTTGTAACTCTGTCAAAATAATAATAAAGGAAATGAAAACAGAAACAAAAGCATCTATCTGTTAGAATGGCTGTTATCAAAACAATGAAGATAACAAATGTTGGCAAGGATATGGAGAAAAGGGAAACTTTGTTGTTGGGAATATAAATTGTACAGCCATTATGGAAAATGGAATGGCAGTTCCTTAAAAAATAAAAGATAGAAATGGCATATGATCCAATAATCCCACTTGTACATATATATAAAAAGGAATTGAAATCAGTATGTTGAAGAGAATACTGCATTCCTAGGTCCTAGATTGATTTATTTATTTGAAAGGGAGAGTTACAGAGAGACAGAGAGAGATCGTCATCCGCTGGTTTTCTCCCCAAATGACTGCAACAGCAGGAGCTGGGCCAATCTGAAGCCAGGAATTGGGAGCTTCCTCAAACCAATGCCCATATCGGATGCCGGCGCTTCAGGCCAGGATGTTAACCCACTTCGCCACAGCGCCGGCCCCAAGACAAGAGTATTTAAAAGACAGAGTTAACAGACAGAGGTAGACAGAGGTCTTCCATCTGCTGGTTTGCTACCCCAAATGACCATAACAGCTGGAGCTGAGCCAGTCTCAAGCCAGGATCCAGGAGCTTCTTCGTGGTCTCCCACATGGGTGCAGGGGCCCAGGGACTTTGGCCATCCTCCGTTGCTTTCTCAGGCACATTATTGGGGAGCTGGATAAGAAGTGGAGCAGCCGGCGCCGCGGCTCACTAGGCTAATCCTCCACCTTGCGGCGCCGGCACACCGGGTTCTAGTCCCGGTTGGGGCGCCGGATTCTGTCCCGGTTGCCCCTCTTCCAGGCCAGCTCTCTGCTGTGGCCAGGGAGTGCAGTGGAGGATGGCCCAAGTGCTTGGGCCCTGCACCCCAGGGGAGACCAGGAGAAGCACCTGGCTCCTGGCTTTGGATCAGCGTGGTGCGCTGGCTGCAGCACGCGGGCCGCGTCAGCCATTGGAGGGTGAACCAACAGCAAAAGGAAGACCTTTCTCTCTATCTCTCTCTCTCTCACTATCCACTCTGTCTGTCAAAAAAAAAAAAAAAAGAAGTGGAGCAGCTTGGACTTACGGGATGCCCTGCTGCAGGCCGGGGCTTTAACCTACTAAGCCACAGTGCCAACCCCTGTTCCCTTTCCTTTTATGGGATGCCGGCGCCGCAGGCGGAGGATTAACCAAGTGAGCCACGATGCCGGCCCCAAAAGAGATATAATTACCTCCTAATTCCGAGGTAGAACATTACCAGCTCTAAGTCCTCCCTGGAAAGACAGCCTCCATTCATTCCATAGATTAGCACTGTTCTTTGTCAAGATAATTTCTTTGTTTTCCAAATTCAACCACACATGTACATCTCTAAGCAGTGCAGTTTAATTTCATCTGTTTTTGGGCTTCAGATGAATGGAATCATTATGATAACATAGGTTGTTATATGTACTTTTACTCTCTGTGAGATTCATATAACTGTATCCGGTTTGGTTTCATCAATGTATAGTATTCTAACTCGTATGAGTGTGGTACATCTCTTTATCCATGCAACTGCTGATGAATATTTTCTAGTATTGTACTATGACAGTACTACTAGAAACTTTCTTTTTAAAAAATTTTTTATGATAAAATATACATTAAATTACCATTTTAATCATTTAAATGTTCAGTTCTGTGGCCTTAAATACACTTATTAGTCCAAAGCCTAATATGCCAGTACTATCTACTTTTATTTCTGTAATCTCTTACTTGCTTTAATGAGGAAAAAATATGATCTGCCTTTTATAATAAAAGATGATTGGAAACGTCAGATGCTTAATTAGCATTGTGGTACAATTCCATGTTATTGCAATGAAAACCTTTGGAAATTCTTCCTTTCCCTTAGAAGAAAGTTCTAAAGAGCAAGTATTTGGATTTCTTCTCTTTCTTCCTTTTTTTTTTTTTTTTAAGATTTATTTATTTGAAAAGCAGAGAGAGGGAGTGAGACAGAGTAAAAGAGATCTTCCATCTTCTGGATCACTTCCCAATGGCTGTGATGGTCAGTCCTGAGCCGGGCTGAAGCCAGGAGCCAGGAACTCCATCTGGGTCTCCCATGTGGGTGGCAGGGGCCCAAGAACTTCTGCCATCCTCTGCTGCTTTCCCAGGCACATTAACAAGGAACTGGATTGGAATTGGAGCAGGCGAGGCTCCAACCAGCTCTCGCTGGTGTCATAGGCAGTAGCTTAAACTGCTGTACCACAACACCAGCCTCTTGATTTATTTGTTTATCTCAGTATAAACCCAGAACTATAAGGAAACATTGATTATTCTAAATATTTTTAATTGTTTCTTCAGGCTGTGTGTTTTTTTTTCCCCTAGTTACTTACCTATTTTTTACATATTATGAAAATTAAGGAGAGTTCTGTCTACATGAAAAATAACTGAAAATTTAGATCCTGTTTTTGGGTTAGTTTCCTTTTTTGTTTTTGTTTTTGTTTTTGTTTTTGTTTTGATAGGCAGAGTGGATAGTGAGAGAGAGAGAGAGAGAGAGAGAAAGGTCTTCCTTTGCCGTTGGTTCACCCTCCAATGGCTGCTGCGGCTGGCATGCTGCGGCCAGCGCACCACGCTGATCCGAAACCAGGAGCCAGGTGCTTCTCCTGGTCTCCCATGCAGGTGCAGGGCCCAAGCACTTGGGCCATCCTCCACTGCACTCCTGGGCCACAGCAGAGAGCTGGCCTGGAAGAGGATCAACTGGGACAGAATCCAGTGCCCTGACCAGGACTAGAACCTGGTGTGCCTGTGCCGCAGGTGGAGGATTAGCCTATTGAGCCGCGGCGCTGGCCTTTGGGTTAGTTTTCTTTATATCACTGTACTGGTTTCTGCTTCAAGGACTATGTTCTGTAATATGCAAATGTGGATGGGTGGTTACTCATTATGGTCAGAGGGATCTGTTCCTTACATTTTGACTGACTGCTTTTGGAGCCTTAGGCCACCTCAGTTCTTCTTTGAGTCAGTTGTGGTTTTTTTTTTTGTTTTGTTTTTTGTTTTTTAATTTTATTTATTTATTTTGGAAGGCAAGAGTTAGAGAGGAGAAGACACAAAGAGAAAGGAGAGATCTTCCACCTGCTGGTTCATTCCCCAAATGGCCAGAACAGCTGGGGCTGGGCTAGGCTGAAGCCAGGAGCCTGGGGCTTCCTCTGGGTCTCCAATGTGGGTTCAGGGGCCCAAGCACTTGGGCCATCCTGTGCTGCTTTCCCAGGTGCACTAGCAAGGAGTTGGGTCAGAAGTGGAGCAGCTGGGACTCAAACTGGTGCCCACAGGATGCCAGTGCCCACATGGGATGCTGGAGGCTCAACCTGCTGCACCACAGTGCTGGCCTCTCTGAGGCAGTTTTGTACTTGTAAAATGAGAATGCTGTCTGCTCCTATACAGATGTTCTGTATGAAAGGATGCTGTGGCGGGGTAGGTTCTGTGTATCAGAATGGTGAGCTCTTGAAGATACATACTGCAGGAAGCTGTGATGTTTTCCTTTCTTAGATGATACTCCAAATCACACCAGCTCTTCCAAAGAGGTCCCTTCCTCTGCTGTACTAAGAAGCCTTCAGGTGAATGTGGGCCCAGACGGAGAAGAAACGAGGGCTCAGGCAGTACAGAAGTCCCCGGAGTTTTTGACCACTGCAGAGTCTCCTAGCTTGTTGCAAGATCTACAGCCAAGTGACAGCACTTCTTTTATTCTCCTTAACCTAACAAGAACAGGTATTCTTCTTTTTTTTTTTTTTAAACAAAAACAGGTATTCTTTATCCTTTTCTGAACTCTGTTCATGTTTATGAATAGAACAGGCTGGGGCCCGTTTAACTCAATCAGATGGAAGCAACGTTTATTATCTTTGGAGAATTACTGTGATCTGGTGACCAACCAAATATGTGGAGGGAGACGGAGGACTCTAGGATGACTGAGACATTTCTTAGGGAAATGGAGTGGTGCCGTTTACCCAGGCAGTATGCAGAGGAGTAGGCCTCGGAGGAGGATGGCTAGTTCCTCTTTGTGCCTGTGGCTGTGATTTCAGAGGAACGCTCAGGAGGAGTGCTCCTTCGGAGAGTTAGAAACAGGAGTCCAGAGTCCTCCAGAGGTGTGTTCTGAAATAAGTAGTTTTGGTGCTTGTTAGCATTCATGGAATGTGAAACATTGAGTGTAGATCCTTTGATTCAAGAGAAATCTGAAATGTAAACAGAAAAGTCAAGTCTGGGATCCTGAAACACAGCATTTAAGGGGACAGCAGAAGGGGAAGGGGCAGCTAGAAGGAGTTGAAGATAACCGGGAGAGAATGGTGGGTAGGAGGTCAAGGGAGGAATGTTTAGTGAAGGAAAGACACTAAATCCCGCCAAACACTGCCGTGTGGGCTAGTGAGGCAGAGTGTGTCTCATAACCCTAGCAAGACCAGTTGTTTTGGAGGTGGTACGGGTAGAGGCCAGGGTTAAAGAGTTGGGGAAAGGATGGAAAGTGAGAAAATGGATACATAAGTTTAATGGTACACTTGTTTGAGAAACTTGATTTTGAAGGGATAAGTAAGAAGGGTAATAGCTAGAGAAATTAGAATTTTCTATTTTTAAAAATAAATGAGCTAGAATACATTTAAAGACTGTAAGGAAAAGCTGGCCAATTGAAATGGGTTCTAGATAGGAGAAAGATCACCAAAGGATGCAGAAGGGGATAACTGGAGAACGGAATCGTGGTACTGGAATTGAGGGTTAGCCTCTTTTCCAGGAGGACAGCTTCGCCTGCGAAACTAGAGGCGGCTGGACGACAGCAGGCCTGCAGGCTGAGGGTAGAAAGGTGATAGCCTGATCATCCGTGAGAACAGGAGCTTGAGGTGAGAGGTGAAGATCTGCAGCAGCTGATTTAGGACATGGAAAGTTTCTGAGCGGGGGCACGTAAAAGGATTGCTTACTGGCTTTCATATATCTTGTTTCTCCCAGGTCTGGGCTCATCTGCCGAGCACTTAGTGTTTGTACAGGATGAAGCAGAGGATTCAGGGAATGATTTTCTCTCCAGTGAGAGCACGGACAGTAGCATCCCCTGGTTCCTGCGGGTTCAGGAGTTGGCCCATGACAGTTTGATTGCTGCCACTCGTGCACAACTTGCAAAGAACGCGAAATCCAGCAGCAATGGTAAGAACCCTGTGGCATTTTCTTTTTTCCAGTATTCTGTGCAAAGAGATTTTGGTAATGTAGCAACTGTATTTTGAGTTCTGTATAATCTGTTATTCTAATGGTGAGAACAAAAGGCCAGAACTGTGTAGCATGTTTTAAGTTTTCTTATTTATTTATTTACTTTCATTTTACTACACTAGATCTTAGCCAAAAGGCCGATAAGTGATTTATTTACTTTCATTTTATTTGAAAAGCAAAGAGAGGAGAGATCTATTTTCTGATTCACTCCCCAAATGCCTGTGACAGCCACAGTGGGGCTGTGCCAAAGGTAGGAGCCTGGAACTCAGTCCCAGTTCTCCCACATAGGTGGCAGGGACCCAAGGACTTGTCATAATCTGCTTCCTCCCAGGGTGTGCATTAGTAGGAAACTGGATCCGAAGGGAGAAGTCAGGATGCAAATCAGGCACTCTGAAGTAGGATGCATGTGTCCCAAATGGTGACTTAACTGCAGAACCACCAAATGCCTGCCTGCTAAGTTTTCTTTTCTTCTTCTTCTGCCCTTTTTTTTTTTTTAAGATTGATTTATTTATTTGAAAGGCAGAGTTACAGACAGGGAGAGACCAAGAGAGAGGTCTTCCATCCACTGGTTCACTCCCCAAATGGCCACAGTGGTTGGAGCTGGGCCAGTTGGAAGCCAGGTGCCAGGAGCTTCTGGATCTCCCATGCAGGTGCAGGGGCCCAAGCACTTGAGCCATCCTCCACTGCATTCCCAGGCAAGTAGGAGAGAGCTGGATTGGAAAAGGAGCAGTTGGGGCATGAACCAGTCCACATATGGGATGCTGGTGCCACTGGTGGAGGCTTAATTTACTATATTACAGTGTAGTAGATTTTTAAATTTTCTATAGAATAACTTGGCCATACCAGATTTATGTGCAAATCAATTAAACTAGTATTCTAGATTTCATTAGTTGGTATTATAAGCAAAAAGCAGGAGAGTAAAACTAGATTGTACTTGCAGAAGTAGAGGACGTGATGAATGGCTTTTATTTAATGACAGTGCAGTAAAGAGCTTACATTATCAAAGCCCTTGCAGGGGCCAGTGCCATGGTGAAGCTGCAGCCTGCAGTGCCAATATTCCATATGGGTGCCAGTTTGAGACCTGGCTGCTCTACTTCTGATCCAATTTTCTGCTATGGCCTGGAAAAGCAGTAAAAGATGGCCCAGGTCCTTGGGCCCTGTACCTGTGTGGGAGACCCAGAAGAATCATCTAGCTCCTGGCTTCAGATCGGTCTATCTCCGGCCGTTGCACCCATTTGGGGAGTGAACCGATGGGTATAAGATCTCTCTCTAACTCTGCCTCTCTGGAACTCTGCTTTCTAAATGCATCGATCTTTTTTTTTTAAAAAAAAAAAAAAAAAAAAAAGCCCTGCAGAGATCGGCCATGCCAACAGGGGATAGGAGAGAGAAGTGTGCCTAGTTAGGAAGTAGGTCGTCTACAGTGTCTTTAACAAAACAAGGAAACTTCAGGTCTCACACAGGACAACTCTGCCTGGCCAGTTTGGTTCTAACTCCCTGTGGAGTTGGCTCCTTACAAAGTTTAACTTCTTCCTGTACCTCATTTTGCTGTGTTCTCCTTTCTTCTACGGTGTTGCTCCGAAATGCATTCCCTAATAAATAGTTGGGGCGGGGGGGGCGGGGCTGGTGCTGTGGCACAGCGGGTAAAGCTGTCACCTGCAGTGCCAACATCCCATTTGGGTGCCGGTTCTAGTCCCAGCTGCTCCACTTCCAATGCAGCTCTCTGCTGTGGCCTGGGAAAGCACTAGAAGATGGATCAATTCCTTGGGCCCCTGCACCCACGTGGGAGACCCAGAAGAAGCTCCTGGCTTTGGATCGGCACAGCTCCGGCCGTTGCAGCCATCTGGGGAGTGAACCAGTGGATGGAAGACCTCTCTCTCTCTCTGCTTCTCCTCTCTCTATGTAACTCTGCCTTTCAAATAAATAAATAAATCTTTAAAAAAAAAAATAGTCTATGGGACAGAGCTGTGGTATAGTAAAGCCACTGCCTGTAGCACCAGCATCCCATGGGCCTGGATTGAAGCTCTACTTCTGATCCAGCTTCCTGCTAATGCACCTGGGAAAGCAGTGGAGGATGGTCCAAGTACTTACGCCCTTGCTCCCACATGTGAGACCTAATGGAGCTCCTGGCTCCTGGCTTCAGCCTGGCTCAGCCCTGGACGTTGCAGCCATTTCAGGAGTGAAACAGGATGGAAGATCTCTGTGTCTCCCTTTATCTATCTCTCCCCCGATCCCTGCACCCCCTCTCCTCCCGTCTCCCTTTTCTCTATAACTCAGCCTTTCAAATAAATGTCTTTAAAAAGAAGAAATAAATCATTTTGGTTTTTGCATTCTTAAATATTTTATAACTAAAGAAGGGTATAATATAGGAAATTGGAAGGGGTTCTTATATTCTCCAGCGTGATAGAAAGCAGCCAAAATTAACTTCAAAGATGGAAGTCTAAGAATGGCCATCTGTGAAAGAAACTGCTGTAATCCCACGTGAAGCTTGAGTGACTGCTTCTCCTTAAAATACAGGTTTCTATGACCTGGAACTTTAAGCTGTCTCTTCAGCACCCCAGTCTGGGTATTTGTTATTCTCACTAATCTGTGTGATGTGAAATAGGTTTAATTCGGTTTTCTGCAGTTTCTGATAGGAAATTATTTTGGATGTTTCTCTTTTCTTTTCTTTCTTTCTTTCTTTTTTTTTTTTTTTATTTGACTGGTAGAGTTAGACAGAGAGAAAGGTCTTCCTTCTGTTGGTTCACTCCCCAAATGGCTGCTACGGCCAGCGCTGCACTGATCTAAAGCCAGGAGCCAGGAGCTTCTTCCTGGTCTCCTGTGTGGGTGCAGGTGCCCAAGCACTTGGGCCATACTCCACTGCACTCCTGGGCAATAGCAGAGAGCTGGACTGGAAGAAGAGCAACCAGGACTAGAACCTGGTACCCATATGGGATGCTGGTGCCGCAGGCAGGGGATTAACCAAGTGAGCCACGGTGTCAGCCCCTATTTTGGCTGTTTCTTACATTTATCAAAGAGGCCTCGTCTTGTGAAACAAAGCATGATAGTTGTTGGTAGAATGGGGGTGAAGGACACTCTCATTTCTAATGTTAAATGGATACAAGATGAAATTAGGTATCTGATTAATGATCACTAGGAGTAAAATATAGCAGCTTTATTGTTTGAACCTAGTATCTGAGCAAGGTCCTTCCATGGATTGTAAATATGTGACTCATTTATAGGAGAAAATGTCCACCTTGGTTCTAGTGATGGGCAACCCAAAGATTCCGGGCCCCTTCCTCAAGTGGAAAAGAAGCTGAAATGTACAGTTGAAGGCTGTGATCGGACGTTTGTGTGGCCAGCTCACTACAAGTACCACCTCAAAACTCATCGGTGAGCAAATCCAAGATTTATGTGTGGCTTAAGAACATGTTGATGCTTCCAGAGGAGTCTGTCCCTTAAACTGATAAATTAAAGGAAAGTAGGGACCACAGCTAGCTTCTTAAGATAGTTCTTGTTCTTTAATAAACAGATTTGCATTGTCTCACTTACCTCATTCTGGATGAATGCTTAGTAAGACATTTGACATCTGTATGTCTTAGAGAGTTCTCAAATCTTATTATAAGATAGTTTTTTAAGAACTTAAAATATAATATGTACGTCTGGTTCCCTACTCTATACCTATGAGATTAGTATTTGGGTGGAGGGTGCAAATGGGTATCTAGTCTTAGTAAACTCTTCAAGTTGTTCTTTTCTATCCAGATTTGAGATATGTTGTCTGCCCTGAAAGTTAGTAAGGGAGCTTTGACTTGTCTTCTCCAGGAAATGGTATTTTCAGATACTGATGCTTATCTGATTATTTTTGCAGAAATGACCGCTCCTTCATCTGCCCTGCAGAAGGTTGTGGGAAAAGCTTCTATGTGCTGCAGAGGCTGAAGGTGCACATGAGGACCCACAATGGGGAGAAGCCCTTTATGTGCCCTGAGCCTAGCTGTGGTAAGCAGTTTACCACAGCTGGTAACCTGAAGAACCACCTGCGCATCCACACAGGTGTGTGCAACCCCAGCACTCCCTTGGGTTCAGTGTTTGCTTTCTTTCTTTCTTCTTTTTAAAGATTTATATATTTGAAAGGTAGTGCTACAGAGAGAGAGAGAAATCTTCCATCTGCTGATTCACTCACCAAATGACTACAGTGGCCACAGCTGTGCCAAGCCAAAGCTAGGAGCTTCTTTTGGGTTTCTCTCTCTCTCTCTCTCTTTTTTTTTTTTTTTTTTTTTGACAGGCAGAGTTAGTGAGAGAGAGAGAGAAAGGTCTTCCTTTTTTTCCGTTGGTTCATCCCCCCAAGTGGCCGCTACGAATGGTGCGTTGCAGCCAGCGTGCTGCTAGTTGGCGTGCTGCCGGCCGGTGCTGCGCCAATCTGAAGCTAGGAGCCAGGTGCTTCGTCCTGGTCTTCCATGCGGGTGCAGGGCCCAAGCACCTGGGCCGTCCTCCACTGCCTTCCTGGGCCACAGCAGAGAGCTAGACTGAAAGAGGAGCAACCGGGACAGAATCCAGTGCCCCAACCGGGACTAGAACCTGGGGAGCCCACACTGCGGGCGGAGGATTAGCCTAGTGAGCTGTGGCACCGGCCTCTGGGTCTCTTAGATGAGTGCAGAGGCTCAAGCACTTGGGCCATCCTTTGTTGCTTTCCCGGGCCATAGCAGAGAGCTGGATGGGAAGTGGAGCAGCCGGGACTAGAACCAGCGCCCATACGGGATGCCGGCACTTCAGGCCAGGGCGTTAACCCGTTGCGCCACAGCACCGGCCCCCATTGAAGCATTTTAATGTGTACTACCAACCACATATAGTGTTATCTTCATTAATCTTCAGATTAACTTTATGTGTTAGATACTATACTTGTTGATGAAGAAACAGAAGAATAAAGTTAAATAACTTGCCTAACATCATGTAAGTAGGAAATAGCAAAGCTAGAATTTGAATTCTGATCTAACTCTAAAGCACTTCTTTTATTTATTTATATATATATATATATATATATATATTTGAAAGTCAGAGTTATACAGAGAGGAGAGGCAGAGAAAGAGAGAGGTCTTCCATCCAATGGTTTACTCCCCAAGTGGCCATAACCACCGGAGCTGTGCTGATCTGAAGCCAGGAGCCAGGAGCTTCTTCCAGGTCTCCCACATAGGTGCAGGGGCCCAAGAAATTGATCCGTCTTCTTCTGCTTTCCCAAGCCATAGCAGAGAGCTGGATCGGAAGTGGAGCAGCTGGGTCTCGAACCTGCACCTATATGGGATGCTGGCACTTCAGGCCAGGATGTTAACCTGCTGCACCAAAGCGCCAGCCCCACCTCTAAGAATGTTATTTTCAGATGGTGACAACTTAGTTTATTTCAGATGTCAAGATTAATCTTAAGTCTCTATCAGTAATAATGATAGTAATTGAAGCTACCAGTTTTAGTGGCTTGCTATGCATCAGACATAGCTGGATAATTAACTTGTTCTGTATCATTTAATCCTCACAATGATCTTTTGTGATTGTACCATCTCAACTTTATAGATAAAAAGCCTATTCTTAGAGAAATTAAATAAATTCTCCATATTGGTAAGTGATAGTGTCAGGATTTGAACTCAGAATTAACCGACTCCAATACTCATGTTCTTTTTTTAAAAAAGTGTGTGTGTTTTATGTTTTTTGTTTTTGTTTTTTACTTCAATTAGTTTATTTTTGTTTGAGAGACAGACAGGTCTTGGGTGTCAGGACCCAAGTACTTGAGCCATTACCTGCAGTCTACCAGGATATGCATAAGCAGGAAATTTCATTGACAACCAAAGTGCCAGAACTCAAATGAGGGGCATCCCACATGGTGACTTAACTGCTCATCAAATGCCTGCCCCTAAAGTCCATTCTTGACCACTGTATTACATTTCCTTTAGAACTTCTTTTCTTATATCTCAGGCAGTGTGGCATTACCCGCTACGCCACAACACTGACCCCAGGTCCATCTTGTTAAGCATTTGGCCTTGTCATTACTCAAATTTCTCGCTTTCTGGCAGTCTGTCATATGTATTAATATATTGTTCATTCATTCAGCAACTTTTTGAGTGCCTAGTAGCATTCTGGGATAGGTATGAATATATACATATGCTTTCAAAAAATTTACAGACCAGGGCTGGCACCGTGGCCACTTGGTTAATCCCCTGCCTGTGGCGCCGGCATCCCAGATGGGCACTGGGTTCTAGTCCCGGTTGCTCCTCTTCCAGTCCAGCTCTCTGCTGTGGCCCGGAAAGGCAGTGGAGGATGGCCCAAGTGCTTGGGCCCTGCACCTGCATGGGAGACCAGGAAGAAGCACCTGGCTCCCGACTTTGGATCGGCGTAGCTCCAACCCTAGAGGCCATTTGTGGGGGGTGAACCAACGGAAAGAAGACCTTTCTCTCTGTCTCTCTCACTGTGTAATTCTATCTGTCAAATTAAAAAAAATTTTTTACAGACCACAGGAGATGTAGGAAACTGAGTCAGAAAGAGCAATGTAGTCTAGAGCAGTGCTGCTGCCAGCACTTCTGTTGTTTGTAATGCTGGGCTCTCGCCATTTTCTCAGTCTGCCTTGGGCACCCTGTTTCAAGGCTGTGCTCACACTGTCTTGTGCCTGAAATTCCCTTTAAGTTTTGTCATCTTTTTTTCATCTTTGTCATCTTAAAATTAGTGCAAATTCCATTCCTAAAACTTACTGCAAGGATGGGTTCTTGGTCTAGCTTCTTCCGGGTCTCCCACATGGGTGCAGGGGCCTAAGGACTTGGGTTAGCTTTTAATGCTTTCCCAGGCCATAGCAGAGACCTGGATCGGAAGTGGAGCAGCCGGGACTCAACTGGCACTCATGTGGATGCTGGCAGTGCAGGTGGTGGCTTTACTTTCTGTGCCACAGCACCAACACCTCTATGTAATTCTGTGACTAAACGTCTGTCTTTGTGTGCTTGTTTTGTGAAATGGGGCTGTATATAATAGCTAGTTAACCTTTAAAAATGGATCTAGAAATTGAGTCTTAGAAAATTGGTATAAGGTAGAAATCCCGACAGCGCGTACACTGTTGATCTTGGTATCATCAGGAATGAGATCACTGAAGAAGGTAGAGCAGGACAGCTGGAGGGGTCAGCCTCTGAGCCAGGAGGGAGAAGAACGTCAGAGCTGTTCTTAGGAAACAGACAGGGCTGTCGGGTGGGCTGCAAACCAGGGAGATCATTGAGAGGCAGTACTTGGTAGGTAGCCCGGTTGAAATTATACAGCATGAATTGAAGAAGTCAGAGTGAGTAAGTCACTGGCAACCACACAGCTGATGGGAAAGAATAATAGATGGAGATGGTCACTTCATCCCACGACTGAGTCTTTGTCTCATTTTCTGTCTCTAGGAGAGAAGCCTTTCCTTTGTGAAGCCCAAGGATGTGGCCGATCCTTTGCTGAGTATTCTAGCCTCCGAAAACACCTGGTGGTTCACTCAGGTATTAGAACCTGCGCCATTCGTAGATTTCAAGAAAAGTAGGGAAACAACAGGATAAAAGGGTGGGTGAATGGTGAGTGAATGTAAATAAAGCAGAATCAGAAAGCAAGGCCCTCAGTAATTATGTCCAGAGATACTTAGAATTGGTGGGGAAAATGATTATTATTTTCAACTGAGTCACTAGAAAAATTCAGACCTTTTTGTGAGATCAGCACATTTGTTTGGCTCTGTACTGGGTGCTTTATAAGTCGTATCAGACAAGGATCCTGCTTTTTAGGAGTCGACATTTTCATTCCTCTGGGAGGGTTTCAGGTCATAAGAAGTTAGAAAGATGGATGCCACTGGTGGCAGAACGAGTGGTGTTACTACCTTCTAAGGAGACCTTGGTGACCGTGCTTTTCTCACTGTTTGGCAGAAACTATACCTTTGGCAAATAGAACCACAAACCTTGCCAGAAGTCTAGAAGAGGAGAGAGAAGGAAAACTTAGTGACTCCTTTTCTGTTTGGGAGCCTTAAATTAATTCCCTATAATTCTGTCAGTTTGTTCATTCTGTGCAAAATATCTGAAAATATTCTATGGCAACTGTATGTTGTAAGCACAATAGGAAAAGATAAAGTCTAACCTTCTCCCTTTCCTGTATTGCATCCTCCCAACAGAAGTTAGCTATAGTCCAGGGGAAATTCTGTATCTTGTTAGAGTGACTTTCCTGTGAGACATGAAAACTATATTGAAAACAGTGCTGGACAGGTAGTTTAAGAAGGGCCTAGAAGGTGCACCCTGATGAGAACACAATTTACTGCCGAGTAATCTGGCAGGGATGCATTTGCTGAACTACAACAGAATGAAATCTGTTAAGAAATCTACTCCAGGGTACTGGGAGGGAGTATGGGAAGAGACTTGGGGGCAGAATCTGTACAGATCCATAACTAATTTGATATCAAATGATGCAGAAGAGAAGGCAGCCGGCGAAGAATTGATTCAACAAGTATGGTAGTGAAGGAGGAAAAGCTGGCCTTCTCCTTTGTGGAGCTGGCTCACGTATTTATGAGAGGGGGTTAGAAAAGTGTTGGGAAAAGATAATGGTAGTACTAGAGAGAGGCTGCAGACTTGCCCATAAGCTTCTCAGAGATGGGAAAGTTCCTGGCTCGTGGTAGGGTTTTCAGAGTTGTTGATTGACTGAATCCATTAGAGTGAAAAAAAGGATTGGGAAGGTGCAGTGAGTGGGTACACAGCTGTGTAGTAGATAGCAGAACCTGGCGCCCATATGGGATGTGGCGCTGCAGGCGGAGGACTAACCAAGTGAGCCATGGCGCCGGCCCTGAATCTGCTATTTCATTAAGAATTGTAAAATGGTGGTTTTTCTTTGCTTTTTCTCTTCTTTTTTTTTTTTTTTAAGATTTTTTAATTTGAAAGGCAGAATTAGAGAGAGATCTTCCATCTGCTAGTTCACTTCCCAGATGGCCACAAGAGCCCAGGGAGCTTGGCAATGCCTAAACCAGGATCCTAGAACTCCAGCCTGGGCTCCAGTGTGGGTGGCAGGGGCCCAAGCACGTGGGCCATCTTCTGCTGGTTTCCCCAGGCACATTTGCAGGGAGCTGGATCTGAAATGGAGCAGCCTGGACAGGTGCTCAGGTGGCATATCAGGTGATAGCTTAACCTGCTGTGCCACAATGGCAGCCCCTTCCTGTTCCTTTTAGTCGGAACCATGGGCTGGGTACCGTGTGTTCTCATTACTATTAGGTTGTCACTGCTTCCTGCTCCTCTGCAGTAGACAAGCTAGAGAAGACAGTGTTTGAGAAGAAAGCAATTTGTTTATGCTGACATTTCCTATTTAAATCTGTTTGCATTTACATGAAAAGCAAAGAGAGGAACAGATTTTGTGTCTGTTGGTTCACTTCCCAAATGCCTGCAATAGCCAGGACCGGGCCAGGCTGAATTCAGTCTGGATCTGCTATGTCTGTGGCAGGGACCCTAGTATCTGAACCATCAGCTGCTATCTTCTAGGATGTATACTATCAGAAACGGAATCAGAAATAGAGTAGCCAGGAGGTGAACAAGCCACACTGATGGGGCATGTGGATGTCCCAAGTGGCAACAACTGCTGTGCCACACACCTGTTTCCTCCACTTAAATTTTAATATTTAATAATTTTCAGTCACTTCTGTATATCTTTTCTCTATACTTAAAATTTTGGTTCTTGGGGCTAGTGTTCTTGGCACAGTGGGTTAAGCTGCTGTGTGCCATGCTGGCAACCTATGTGAGCATCCTTTCGATTCCTTGCTGCTCTGCCCCAGATCCATGTCCCTGCCAGCAAGCCTGGGAAAGCTATGGAAGAAGGCCCAAGTACTTGAAACCCTGCCACTTCTGGGGGAGACCCAGATGGAGTTCCAGGCTCCTGGCTTCAGCCTGGCCTAGCCTTGGCCCTTGTGGCCATTTAAGGAGTGAGCCACAAGATAGAAGATACCTCCTTCTCTCTCTACCTTTCTATAACTGCCTTTCCAAAAAAAAAAAAAAAAAAATCTTGATTCTTAATTACTTAATATTGTTACAGAAAGGTAATACCAATATTCTTATTAATAATTAGTCCAGAGAACAAAGCTTAACACTTTGCAGCTATATTTTCCTTAGAACATATTCTGTTAAGGATATATAGTCAAATGAAGTATCTTAATAACCTTTAAATAATTATATCACCAGCCTGATTTTTTGTGATTAAATGTGATTGTAAGCTTAATGTTATTCTTTTTAGTATGTAAAGTCAAAGCAAGTTACAGGTTTAGAATCCCGAATTAAAAAATCTGAAATGTACAAAATCAGATACTTTTGGAGCACTAAAATGGTGCTACAAATGGCAGTATGGCCTCATGTGATGGGTCATAGTCAAAATACAAGCCCACTAAAATATTGTGTAAAATTACTTTTTAATCTATAAGTAGAAGATAAAGTATAAATTACTGCTTAAGCAAACATTCCAAATTCTGAATCATCTGGTCTCAGGAGTTTCAGATAAGGGCTAGTCAGCATGTCTACTCAAGGGAGCTTCTGTTCTCTTTCCTCGTAGGAAACCACTTTTATTTCCCTTTTGATTTACTTTTCCAGTGATTTCTTCTTGCCACTGCAAGCAAATACAGATTATTTTTTATATTTCCTTTCCTTTCTTTCATGCATTTTTTTAAAGAGATAAACGGCACATACCCATAAGATTCACTCCTTTAAAAAACTGTGCAGTTGATGAGTTTTAGTGTGATCCTGGTTTTGAGGCAGTCATGTCTCCCATTTCAGAACATTTTATCATTCCAGAAAGAACTGCCATATGCAGGAGACAGAACAGTAGATGAATCTGCATGCCCATTACCAGTCACTCCCTGTTTCCCCATTCCCTTTAATCTTTCTGTGTCTGGATTTGCCCATTCTGGATATGTCATATGAATCAAGACATAAAGTATGTGGCATTTTATGACTGACTGCTTTGCTTTAACATATATATATATATGTATTTTTTTTTAAAGATTTATTTATTTATTTTAAAGGCAAAGTTAGAGGCAGAGAGAGAGAGAGGGAGGGAGGGAGAGAATATCTTTCATCCACTAGCTCACTCCCTGGATGAATGGCCGCAATGGCTGGAGCTGGGCCAATCCAAAGCCAGAAGCCAGGAACTTCCTCTGCGTCTCCCATGCAAGTGCAGGGGTCCAAGGACTTGGGCCATCCTCTGCTGCTTTCCCAGGCCATAGCAGAGAATGGGATTGGAAGTGGAGCAACAGAGCTTGAACCAGCGCCCATATTGGGTGCCAGGTTTTACCCACTACACCAAAGTGCGCCTGCTGCCTTGACATATATTTTTAAGGTTCATTCACATTGTAGCAGATATTAGTACTTCATTTCTTTTTGGCTAATATTCTGATTTGGTTAATATTCTAATAAACATTATATTTTGCTTATCCATTTATCAGTTGATGGATTTGGGTTATTTGCCACTTTCTGGCTATTATAAATAATGCTGCTGTGAAAATTTGTGTGCCTGTGTTTTACTGATGATATGTTTTAATTTATCTTGAGGATGTATCTAGGAATGAAATTGTTGGGTCAGATGATACCTCCCTGTTTAGCTTTTTAAGGAACTATATAAAGAGTTTATCAAAGTGGCTGTATCATTTTATTTATTTTTATTTTTTAAAGATTATTTATTTGAAAGAGTTACACAGAGAGAGAAAGAGGCAGAGAGGGTTGGGGGGGGGAGGGAGGTCTTCCATCCACTGGTTCACTCCCCAATTGGCCACAACGGCCAGAGCTGTGCCGATCCGAAGCCAGGAGCCAGGAACTTCTCCCGGGTCTCCCAGGCAGATGCAGGGGCCCAAGGACTTGGGCCTTCCTTTACTGCTTTCCCAGGCCATAGCAGAAAGCTGGATCAGAAGTGGAGCAGCCAGGACTCGAACCGGTGCTCATATGGGATGCTGGCACTACAGGTGGCAGCTTTACCTGCTATGCCACAGCTCTGGCCCCGGCTGTACCATTTTATATTCCCACCAGCAGTATATAAAGGTTCCATTTTCTCCACTCCTCACAACACTTATTTCTGTTTATTATAGCCATCTTTCTTACACAAGGGTAGCATACTATAAATAGATTTATTTGTACTTTTCTTAGGATTTACTTTTATTTCTTTGAAAGAATTACAGAGAAAGGGAGAGAAAGAGCTCGAACTTTTATCCACTGGTTCTCTCCCCAAATGGGCGCAATGGCTGGAACTGTGCTGATCTGAAGCCAGGAGCCAGATGCTTCTTCCTGGTATAGGGTACAGGGCCCAAGCACTTAGGCCATCTTACACTGCTTTTCCAACCACAGCAGAGAGTTGGACTGGAAGAGTAGCAACCAGGACTAGAACCAGCACCCATATGGGATGCTGACACTGCAGGTGGAGGATTAACCTGCTGTGCCACAGTGCCAGCCCAGTGCCAGCCCCATGCCCTGTGGTTTTTTTTTTTTTTTTTTTTTTAATTAGGCAGAGTTAGTGAGAGAGAGAGTCAGAGAGAAAGGTCTTCCTTCCGTTGGTTCACTCCCCAAATGGCCCCTACGGCAGGTGCTGTGCTGATCTGAAGCCAGGAGTCAGATGCTTCTTCTTGGTCTCCCATGCGGGTTCAGGGGCCCAAGCACTTGGGCCATCCTCCACTGCCTTCCTGAGCCACAGCAGAGAGCTGGACTGGAAGAGGAGCAACCGGGACTAGAACCCATCACCCATATGGGATGCCGGTTCCGCAGGCGAAGGATTAACCAAGTGAGCCATGGCGCCAGCCCGCCCCATGCACTGTTTTTGACCTCACAATATATCCTAGGTCATTGCGTCTCAGCGAAGAGAACGTTCCTCATTCCTTTTATAGCTTCAGTAGTATTCTGCTTTGTTTATATACTGACTCTGTGATGAATATTTGGGTTGTGTACAGTCTTTAGCCATCTTAAATAATGTTGCAGTGAATAACCTTATGCCTAGGTCATTTTACAATTTGCCACTGCAACTTTGAGACAGATCCCTAGAAGTGGGATTCTTAGCTCAAAGGGCAAATGTGTATGTCATTTTTCTAGATATTTCTAGGTGCCCCATTACAAATGTAGTCTTTTGCATTGTTATTAACAATGAGGATTGCTGCCCAGTGTTTTTTATCAATTGTGGATTTTCCCCCCCACTTTTACAGATTGGAAGATTTTATTTTAAATTCCTCATTTCCAGCTTTTCTTAAAAAAAAAAGAGAGAGAGAGAGAGACCAGACTGGCCTTATACAGCAGGTTAAGCTGCTGCCTGTTATCAGGTCCCATCTGTGCTTCCAGTCCAGCTCCTGTGAATTCTCCTGAGAGGCAGAAGGTGATGACCAGAGTACTGAGGTCTCTGCCACCCATGTGGAAGACTCAGATGGAGTTCCTGGCTCCTGGCTTTGGTCTGGCCTAACCCCAGTTATTAAGGGCATTTGAGGAGGGAATATCTTACTTTCTCTGTGCTTCCGTGTCACTATCCCTTTCAACTAAATCATTAAAAAAAAAAAAAAAAAATCAAAGGATCTGGCATTATTGGCCTTCTCTCCTCACATGGAAACCATTAGCTAGAACTAGTTGCTGCCTTTATGGGGAAGGAAACTTTCTAGGTTACTGTGGCCCCGTTTGGCCTTTTTACTTTTGCTGCTTACCAGTCCCATGAGTTTTTGACCCCTGCACTAGGTATGGTTTGTCTGTTAAGTGGAATGTAAATTGAGAGTTTGGAGCTTAGGGATAGAGAGGATAGTCTAGATCATTGAGTTAGAACCACCAGGGTGAATGTGGAGACTCTTAAGGGTAGACAAGGGGATAGTGTAAGCTGAGGCTTGGACTCCTTGATGGTGGCACTTGCCCTCCAGGTCATAGATGATGATCTGAACAGAGCAGATACATCCACGTGTGGCTGCCGTGATTCTATAGCAGCGGTGGTTTTGTGAAGGCAGCAGTGCAGTGGGTCTGCTAACCCTCCTGGTGACGCTCCTTGCCTTCCCCGTGTGCTGACGATTGAGAGGCTGGGGAAGGTGGGGAATGGAGGCAGCAGCAGCCTCTTAGATCTGGTTTAATACTCTCAGCGCATTTCTGTCTAGGTCTTGCCCCTATTCTCTTCTGGTCAGAATGTTACTCTGTCCTTTTACCTCTCCCCGTTACACTTGGTCCTTCCTGTTTCAGGAGAGAAGCCTCATCAGTGCCAAGTCTGTGGGAAGACCTTCTCTCAGAGTGGGAGCAGGAACGTGCACATGAGACGGCATCACCTGCAGCTGGGGGCAGCTGGCAGTCAAGAGCAGGAGCAAGCTGGTGAGAGAGGGCGCAGGGGGGCTGTGTCTTCTGGGGTCACAGAGCCACGTCTTTGGCCTGCCTGCTTCTCTGGAGGTTTTCTGATTCTGTTTTGGGTAGAGAGACCTGGTCTCATTTGATAGGCTGGTGGGTTCTAACCATAACTAATAGAGTAGTATCATCTGCAAGCTTTTAAAACATGTCTTCTCTTTGTTTGTCCTCCCCTCTAAATAAAACAACCAAATAAACGCAGTAATTGATGAGTAAGATTGCAGAATCTGTAGTTATAAAAGTTTGCCCAGTGATTTCTTTGGTAACTAGTGCTGACCCTCAGACTAGCATTTGTGTAGCACAGTGATAAAAAATTTCTGTATGACAAGAGATTAAACTTTCTTTTTTAAACTTTTTTGACTACCTTTTGCCCTGTCTTAAATTTTGATAACTTTTTTTTTATTCTTATTCTTTTTCTTTGTATTTCCTTAATTATTTCATTCCAAATACTCCTAAGGACCTATCACCCTGTTCTGTATAGTAATTCTCCAGGTGGTGATCACAGCAAGGATGATTATCTCTAAGGGTCAGCCTTTTCCTTCACTGGGTTCATTCTCATTTCCTGAAAGGAGAAGGCATCCCAGATACAGGTTAACTTCCAGTTCTAAAGAGCAGGCCAGCTTCTTGTGTAGGAAGAGGAGGACCAGGCCCAGCCTTGACTGCTGTATTCTCTCACATCCTGTTCTCTGTGCAGCTGAGCCACTCATGGGCAGTAGTTTGCTTGAAGAGGCTTCAGTTCCCAGTAAAAACCTGGTGTCTATGAATTCCCAGCCCAGCCTTGGTGGAGAGTCCTTGAACCTACCAAATACCAATTCTATCCTGGGAGTTGATGATGGTAAGACTTACAGCTCTCCTTTATTTGGGGAAGATGGGCTGCAGTTAGGGGCTAAGAAAGTGGTGTTTCAGAATGAAGGTTCTATTGCATCTCATTTTATGCTAGTAGCTGTGGGATGACTGAGTAGTATTTGTATTCTTGTTCTATGGGGTGGATCAGTGAATCTAAACATTAAAAAATTCATTGAAGATGATGTAGCAAAAGAATAAACAGAAAAAAATTTTGAAAGGGAAAAACATCTGTAATCCTTCCAGCATCATAGCCCAACTATTTCTGTCTTTCCTGTTGCAGTTATGGAAGAACTTAACTTTTAAAACATTTAAACAGAACATAACCAGGTTTTACTGAGGAGATATAAAGCAGTTTCTCCATACCTTCAAAAGCCAGATCCTCTGGAGAAAGAAAGGGCTCTCTAGCAAGCAGTTGGCTCCTCTCTGGTATAGAAATTTCACCCAAGTTACACAGGCCAGGCCCTCTTCTCTGACAAACTTAACAGGTGAGGTCAGCATGCATTTATTCAGTGCCTATTGTGTGCCTGGCACCATGGGAAAGGCAAAAAAGTATCTTAAAATCCAGTTGAGAAGTCAAAACTTAGAAATATATAGGAAACAACAGTGAGTATAGCACATCAGCAAACATTAAGTCATATGCACAGTGTGAAAGAGCAGATGAAACCAGAAGCTCCTAGAAGAAACTTCTGAGTGGTTTGAGGGCCACGTCATTTCTCTGTGGGCTATTTCCAGAAGACTCTCATGGTGACCCCAGTGATGAGCAGTTACTAAGGGTGAGAACCTGTGTTTGTTACTCATCTCCTACTCAGTCAGTTTTGGGTGTAAGTGTGTGTCAGTGTGCTATTGACTATTACCTCTTCTGTTCCACAAATATTAGTGAATAACCAAACATGAGGCACAGAAATTGTGTGGAGCTGGTTTGCCAGCCTTGAAAAAAGTCCCAGGAGAGGAAGGGACACTGACCAGCAGTTATTGCATTGTTGGTATTATTGGTGACTGCTTCAGGGGCTGGCTCTGGTCCCCCGATGTCTGCCATAAGCAGCCTTTACCCTGTTTCATACACGGTTTTAATCCTGGTAACAAAGCTGACGCACTCTAAACTGATCCATTGAAAAGGGCTCAACTCCCATATCAACGTTTCTTGCCTTTTCTTCCCATCCTTAGGTAGTACTTCTGAAATTTACTGATGGTAATCTGATAAGAGGAATTAACTTGGGAGAAATAGGGGAATGTGGGAATCCATCTTTGGGGGAGGTTTGTTAAGTTCCTAATGAGAGGCTTGATGGTGCAGGTAGGTATATCTGTGGATTCACTTTCCGTTCAGACGTTTTTCTGCTGTTCCATAGAGGTGCTTGCCGAAGGATCTCCACGTGCCCTGACTTCAGTGCCTGATGTGACACATCACTTGGTGACCATGCAGTCAGGGAGGCAGTCTTACGAGGTTTCTGTCTTGACGGCAGTAAACCCACAGGAGGTAAAGCTGTCTCTTGTCCTTACTTTGTTTCTGTGGTGACTTACGTGGAGAATGATAAAGAACCTAGTTTAGAGGATCTGAAAAATTCTCCACTTTGATTTCTTTAGCTTTTGACAAGAGCACCCTTCCTACACTTGATCTTAGCCAAAAGGCCGAGAAGCGATAGAGCATCCTTCCTTTAAGCTAAGCTTGGGCCCAGCTTGAAAGGAGCCTGGGTGTTGGGATCTTGTGAGTTGGGGGACTGTTCTGTCACAGCAAGCTATCAGCATTGAAGTTCCTTTATACACATTCCTTAATGAGTGATACCTATTCCTACGGTTTTCTGCTTCACTGTAACATGAAGATTTATCAGGAAAATAACACCCTGGAACAAAGTGGTCCCTGAAGGGGGAGAAAGAGAGAACAGAATCATTAACAAGAATGAATACTCATTCCTCTAGGGTCATGTGTCAGGGAGGTAGCACGCTGAACCCACTGGGCTTACAGGATTGTGCTCATTTGCTTGTTGAATGTGAATCACCATCAGAATCAAGGAGGGGTTAAAGGTTGCTTTTTTTTTTTTAAGACTTATTTATTTGAAAGGCAGAGTTACAGAGAGAGGAGAGACAGAGAGATCTTCTATCCACTGATTCATTCTCCAGATAGCTACAGCTGCTAGGGCTGGGCCAGACTGAAGCCAGGAGCTTCTTCCAGGTCTCCCATGTGGGTGCAGGAGCAAAGAAATCTTTTCTCTTACCAGCCATAGAGATCCATCAAATAGTCATTTCAGAAAAGAAATTTCTCATTTTACCTAGTACAAATTATTACCCTGATAAGCCAATCAACAACACTGAGCCTTTTTGGGGAGTTTTTCTATCCTATACTGCTAAGTACCTTTTTCATCATTGAAGTGTACTCCCAATTATCTCAGATATATGAAAGATGTATAAAAACTTCATTCATTCAAAAGGTATGTGTTATATTCCTGCCGTGTGTGAGGCACTCTACAGGGTGCTGGTTGTGTAGAAAATGGAAAATAGCTTCTGACACAGAAAGCTTGGGGCGGATTGAGGCCCTCCACCTTTGTAATTCCAGAACTGTATACAGTGCCCCTGCAGTTGTGCGGCACACGCAGGTCCTGGGAGCATTCTAATGAACAAGGCCCCGCTGCTGGCAGGCGTTAGGGAGTAACCAGAGATGGGGGATCCCTCTCTAAGATGAGTCAACTTAAAAAAAAAAGCCAAAACACACCATTCCCTGCCACAAGCATCAAGTGAAATCTGTGATTTAAGGTTTTAAATTTTTCTTTAGCTTTTGTTAAATTTTATTTAAATTTCCTGTCACTAAAATGTATATAAATTACCTTCATGCAAATTAATATCACTAAATAAATACATTTTAAGCACAAGAGTTTATCTGATTATATCTTAATAAGCCCAGTTTTTATTCTGAATATTAGTGAATTGGTCCCATCTCATTTTCATTTTAAATAAAATGGAAACCAGTTTTTTCCAGTTACTTACAAAACTTTCTTTGAACAGAAGCTTTGAGTATAAAACATCACCCTGTGGGAGTCCATCAAGATTCCTCCCTCTGTCACAGGAAAGGAATTCTTTTTTTTTTTTTTTTAAGGTTATTTATTTGAAAGTCAGAGTTACACAGGGAGAGGAGAGGCAGAGGGAGAGAGAAGAGAAGAGACAGAGAGAGGCCTTCCATCTGCTGGTTTACTCCCCAGTTGGCCGCAACGGCTGGAGCTGAGCTGATCCGAAGCCAGGAGTCTTCCCATGCAGGTTCAAGGGCCCAAGGATCTGGGCCATCCTCCACTGCCTTCCCAGGTCATAGCAGAGAGCTGGATCGGAAGTGGAGCAGCTGGTACATGAACTGGCGCCCATACAGGATGCCGGCACTGCAGGCGGCGGCTCTACCTGCTATGCCACAGCACCGGCCCCAGGAAAGGAATTCTTTGAAGCTCATGGAACCCCTGGATGTCTTGTGAGCAGGTTCCATTTCTCATGTAGAACTTCTAAGGGGAATAGCTGCTTTTTGAGCCTTCAGTTTGAGCTTTGGCAGACACTGACTTAGCAGATTTTTAGATATAACATTACTGATTTCCCTGTAAGTTACGGATTGAATTATCCCTGACTGTTGATTGACTATATAAAACAGTAGTTCAGCTTTTAGGCTCAGGATATTATTGCCATAGTTAAAAGGCCAGCCTCATGAAGTGGTCGAAGGCTGGCCAGTATGTGAGACGTATTCCGTGCCTGGCTTTTGCAGTGGAACGAGATATCTTTGATTGACCTGTGGTGCATTCCCCACTGCCACTCTTAATCCTTGTACTTAGTATGAAGTCTTTCCTGTAAACCTATCATAGATTTGCCTTCAATCTTTTGCAGTTACTAAACCAAGGAGATTTAACTGAAAGACGGACATGAATATGGGTGCTGGGTCCTGGAAGAGCAGCTCTGATTCCAGAGTGCGTGCAGTGGGACCTGGATGCAGTGGCTTGCTGTCTGCCATAACCAGAACGGATCTGTGAAGGCCAACACCACGCTTCTGCCCGTGCTCACCTGCCCTGGCGTGGAAGGTTGACGTAAGCAGGCTTCTCTTCAAACTGCCGTCTGATCAGACAAGGAGCCAGGTGCTGGCTATGGGCTGCCTACCTGTAGCTGCCTCTCTTCCTGCTGCAAAACTGTGGGATAGACATCTCCCGGAAGTGCATTTGATTGTGTGTGGGCTGAGGCTGCTCCTTGGGACGGCTGAGGGGAGGTTTCCTTTGAAGAGTTTTCAGCCCACACTCAGCTCTCTTTCACGTGGATGAACCAAGTCCTGCCACCACCCATGGAGCTTCACCAGGAAGTTGAGCTTTCAAGATGCCTTGTTGCTTTGAAGAAGGGAGTGATGTCAGTCTGTTGCCATTCTCCCTTTAGCAACCTGAGTAAGAGACTCTGCCACTGGGCTGCAAAAAATAAATTACTTGAATCTCCCCTTGGCCCAGGCTAAGTACTGTCTTGTCCTGTGCACCTCTACTTGGTCACTTTGCTTCCTTCGTTTATGAAACATTCAGAAGCATGTTGAGGGTTTTTTTTTTAAAGTTAAAAATCAGTGATTCAGAGCTTCAGTTTTCCTTTTAAATAAACAAAATAGCCCAGTGAGTTCTCTGGCTCTTATTTTCTTAGAAAGGAAATGTAAGAAATAATACAGTCCTGAAGGTCGAGCACTGACTGACCTGTAGGATTCTGTGCAGGGAAAACAGAAGTGAAGAGCGTGTGCAGAGGTGACAGGGGAGTCCGCCTTTGTCACTGGCACTCATTGCCAGAGCCTCGCTCTGCTGCCACCAGAGGCCGTGTCCGAGTCTAGGAGACTGGCAGGACTAAGACACTGAGGCATTTTTCCAAGCATGAGAAGGTGCTGCTGTTAGAGTAGGCACCCTGCCCCCCTCCTGTCTACGGATAGAGGGTATCCAGTGCCTTGTGAGAAGAAAAGTATTCCAAAGTCAGCTACTAGAAGATCGTGGCTGTTCGAGAAGTTGTAAATTTATTTAAAATGAAGCTGATGCTGACACATACACAAAGACGTGCACATGGGGGGACATGCTAAACTGATGACATCATAGAATCAACTGCTCTGTAAGACAACGACGTTACAGATTTTATTTTAAAGATTTATTTATTTGATAGAGTTACAGAGAGGCAGAGGCAGAGAGAGGTCTTCCATCCACTGGTTCACTCCCCAGATGACCACAATGGCCAGAGCCATGCCGATCAGAAGCCAGGAGCCAGGAGTTTCCTCTGTGTCTCCCGTGTGAGTGCAGGGCCCCAGGCACTTGGGCCATCTTCTACTGCTTTCCCAGGCCATAGCAGAGAGCTGGATCGGAAGTGGAGCAGCCAGGACTCGAACCGGCGCCCATATGGGATGCCAGTACTGCAGGTGGCGGCTTTATGTGCTACGCCACAGCGCGGCCCCTACAGTTCTTAATTTGTTAACGTGCATAATCATCTTGTACTGTATACTGAATTCATGCAATTACTTAAATTCTGTAAATGCCAGGTTTTGCTTCCTGTGGCCTTGCCTTTATTTTAGAGCACTTGGTTCTCAACCACGGACATTTTTGTCGCACAGAGAACACTTGGTACTATCTGGACGCATGTTTGGCTGTCAGACAGCTGGTGAGAGGTTTGCTGCTACTATTCGGTAGGTAGAGGCCAGGGATGCTGCTAACCATCCTCCAATACACAGCTCCCTTCCTCAACCCCCAACAAAGAATTATCTGGCCCAGAATATCAGCAGTGCTGAGACTGAGAAACCTTGTACCAGAAGTTGCAAATTTGTCATCCTCTATGGGCTAATTTTTTTTTTTAAGATTGATTTATTTATTTGAAAGGCAGAGTCAGAAGAAGATCCTCCTTCTGCTAGTTTACTCCCGAAAAGGCTGCAGTGGCCGCAGCTGGGCCGATCTGAAGCGAGAAGTCAGTAGCTTCGGGGTGTCCCACGTAGGTGCAGGGGCCCAAGGACTTGGGACATCTTCCTCTGCTTCCCTAGCACATTAGGGAACTGGATCAGAAGTGGAGCAGCTGAGACTTGAACTGGTGCCCAAATGGGCTGCTAGCACTGCAGGCAGCAGCTTTACCTGCTGTGCCACAGTGCCGGCCCTTACAGGTTAAATTTTTTTTTTTTGACAGGCAGAGTTAGAGAGAGAGACAGAAAAGTCTTCGGCCAGCGCCATGGCTCAATAGGCTAATCCTCCACCTAGCAGCACCGGCACACTGGGTTCTAGTCCCGGTCGGGGCGCCGGATTCTGTCCCGGTTGCCCCTCTTCCAGGCCAGCTCTCTGCTGGGTGCCAGAGCAGCGGGAGGATGAACCAAGTGCTTGGGTCCTGCATCCCATGGGAGACCAGGAGAAGCACCTGGCTCCTGCCTTCGGATCAGCACAGTGCGCCGGCCGCAGCCCGCTGGCCGCGGCGGCCATTGGAGGGTGAACCAATGGCAAAGGAAGACCTTTCTCTCTGTCTCTCTGTCCACTCTGCCTGTCAGAAAAACAAAAAACAAAAAAAAAGAAAAGTCTTCCTTCTGTTGGTTTATCTCCCAAATGGCTGGCGCGCTGCGCCGATCCGAAGCCAGGAGCCAGGTACTTCCTCCTGGTCTCCCATGCAGGTACAGGGCCCAAGCACTTGGGCCATCCTCCACTGCCCTCCCTGGCCATAGCAGAGGGCTGGCCTGGAAGAGGGGCAACCGGGACAGAATCGGGTGCCCCGACCGGGACTAGAACCTGGTGTGCCGGCGCCGCTAGGTGGAGGATTAGCCTAGTGAGCCGCGGCGCCGGCCCCCATAGGTTAAATTTGATAGATCTATTTCAACGTGCAGATGTCTGGCTTCTTATGAATGCGGCAGACCTGGGAATTCTGGGCCTGTCTTCCACCCAGCAGGTTGATTCCAGTCTACTATCTCCTGCTATCCCACCAAGTTTGACTAGCCTCTATAAGCATCTGGGCTTGTACCCTTTTCTCTGTATGTGTACTCGGTGTGAGGTGGAGAAGGAACCCTTAGCTCTGGGTTATGATCCCTCTACCCTGCTTGTTTCTGCTTTGGTTTCCTCAACCATCCCATTACCTGCTGTGAGTCTTTTCCCTGTTCTCTCAACAGCAAATCGGGCCTTAATTAGCCACAAGTTAGGTGCTTACCAGTGCTCAAAAGTACAATTTTAAGTGTACTGATTAAGCAAGTGATTTGAGGTTGTCTGGCGATTTGTAATTTAGTTCCTCTAGTCCTTTCTTGGGATTTGTGGCCCATCCTGGAGATTCTTCAGAAGCCTGCTGTGGGTCTCTAATGCTGAGTTTTAGAATTTCACAGGTGCTGCAGAGGAAATAAAAACATTGCAAAACAGCACATGTTCACTTCAAGAAAGCATTGTGTACGGTTTGAGAATGTTCAACACAGGTGGGCATTGAGCTTAGCAGTTAAGATGCCGGATGGGACGCCTGCAGTCCATACTGGAGTGCCTGGGTTCAATTCCCAGCTCCACCCCCATTCCAGCCTCCTGCTATGCACCTTGGGAGGCAGCAGGTGATGGCTTGACTAACTGGGTTCCTGCCATCTACACAGGAGGCCTGGACTTCGATCCCAGTGTAGGACCACTGGGGCATTTGGGGATTTAAGAGTTCCCCCTAGTGGCAACACTGGGGATAACAACGTGGGGAGCTGCAGAACGGAGCTGCAGAATGATGGCAGCATCGCAGGTTACCTGGGCGAATCCTCCTCCTCCCCCTGGGCAGTGCTGCTGTCTTGACCCTTGTCCCGCACAAAGTCCTCCTCCAGCCCAGCCTGGCTCAGGGTGTCTCGATACCGTTGTTCTGCTGCTTTCACGGCAAGGTTCTGTAGGGTGGAAGTTAACCTGTTCTAGCTGTTTTGTGAATAACCAAATCATTCTAAATTACATGCTCAATATATATCCTTATAATACTGACACTATCACTGCCACCCTTATGCTGGCACAGGTTGGCATGAACATTCCTTAGAGCCTTGTTTCCAAGCATTAATGTACATGTGAGTCCCCCAAGGATCTTGTTAAAATGCAGATTCTCACTTGTTAGGGCTCACATAAGGCTTGCAATTCTGTATTTCTTTTTTATTTTTTAAAATATTTATTTGAAAGGCAGAGCAAGGAAGGGATGGAGAGAGAGAGGTCTTTCATCCTGTGCTCACTCCCCAAATGCCTGCAACAGCCAGGGCTGGGCCAGGCTGAAGCCAGAAGCCTAGAATTCCACTTGGGTCTCCCACATGGGTGGCAGGGGACCCACGTACTTGGGGTCAGCATTTGCTGCTTGCCAGGTGCATTAGCAGAGGAATCAGGACTCAAAATGGCACTGACATGGGACGCAGGCATCCCAGGCAGCAGCAGCTTAACCTCCTAAACCACACTGCCACCCAAATTCTTTATGTCAGTCACTCCTAGGAGATGTTTGTGCTCAATCTGTGAGCCAGACCTTTGAAAAGCAAGGACTTTAGTAATACTGCAGAGACCAAATGAGACCTACATGAAAAAAGGTGAGGTGAACTAAAAATGTTTCAAGACTAGGATGTTAACGAGTTGAAGATAAATGAGACCAAGGTGGCCAGTGCTGTGGCGCAGCAGGTCAAGCCGCCACCTGTGATGCCAGCATCCCATGTGTGAGCAGTGGTTCGAGTCCTGGCTGCTCCACTTCCAATTCAGCTCCCTGCTGATGTGCCTGGGAAAGCAGCATAAGGTGGTCCAGCTATTTGGGCCCCTGCACCCAAGTGGGAGACCTGGATGGAGTTCCTGCCTCCTGGCTTTGGCCTGGCATTAAGGGAGTGAACCACCAGATGGAAGATATCTGCCTCTCCCTCCCCTCACTCTCCTTCTCCGTAGCTCTTTCAAATAAATAAATATATCCTTAAAAAATGAGTAAGTCGGGCCGGCACCACAGCTCAATAGGCTAATCCTCCGCCTAGTGGCGCCGGCACACCGGGTTCTAGTCCCGGTCGGGGTGCCGGATTCTATCCCGGTTGCCCCTCTTCCAGGCCAGCTCTCTGCTATGGCCTGGGAGGGCAGTGGAGGATGGCCCAAGTGCTTGGGCCCTGCACCCCATGGGAGACCAGGAGAAGCACCTGGCTCCTGCCTTTGGATCAGCACAGTGCGCCGGCCGCAGCGTGCTGGCCGCGGCGGCCATTGGAGGGTGAACCAATGGCAAAGGAAGACCTTTCTCTCTGTCTCTCTCTCTCTCTCTCACTGTCCACTCTGCCTGTCAAAAAATAAATAAAAAATAAAAAAAAAAACCTTGTCAAAAAAAAAAATGAATAAGTCAGGGCTGGCGCTGTGGCATATTGGGTAAAGTTGCTGCCTGCAGTGCCAGTACCCCATATGGGCACCAGTTCAAGTCCTGGCTATTCCACTTCCGATCCAGCTCCCTGCTAATGCACCTGGGAAAGCAGCAGAAGTACTTGGGTCCCTGCCACCTATGTGGGAGACCCAGAAGAAGCTCCTGGCTCCTGGCTTCTGTCTGGCCCAAGCCCCTGACTATTGTGGCCATTTGAGGAGTGAACCAGGATTGGAAGTGGAGCACCCAGATGGGATGCCGGTGTCAAGAGCAGACTTTACCTTTGATGCCATGATGCTGACCTGTTTCGTAATTTCTAAGAGTCCTTTCATCCAAAGCAGAAAAAAAAGATAGTGGTGTGGCTTTACCTTGGTGACTTGTTCAGAGAGGTAGGGCCTTGTTTGTATTCTCCTCTTCATTTCTTCCAATTCTTTCTTATATTCTTTTGCTCTTTTACGGTCATTATTCCTGGAATTCAAAAGATTTCTAGGAAGAATACCATCTTTCTCCAGCAAGAGTTCCCTTCATTCTAGTTACACAGACACACACACACACACACACACACACACACACCGCCATGCATCGCAAATTTCTAACTGCCACACAGAGTCCTGGCTCCCTGGGGTTACAGGGGCCGGCCCTAACAGCTGCACTGTGCTCTTTTCAAGGCCAGTGACCTCTTGGGCCCCAAGACAAGCAGCCCCCGGGCCGTGTGGGACACTGACCGGTTCTCTTTCAGCTTTGCTTTTAACACCTCTTCCAGGCTTTTATGGGGATCCATGGCTTTTGCACGCAAGGTCACAGATTTAGACATTGCTTGCCACTTCTTTTTGTGCATCTCCAGCCACTGAATACTCTCATCTGCTTTGTCCTTTTTTTCAAGTGAACTTCTAAAGGGAGGAGGCAGAAAAAAGTACTGATGACCGACTGGGGTGCACTGAAAAGCAATCTCAGTGACCTCTCTGGAGGGCTAGGCTGGTGTTCTCTGTGACCCGACAGGTCATTTACCATCGCTGGCACTTTCAGCGAGAGCAAGGGCCTGGCATGAAATGCATTGGCAGATAAAGTCTTCTGCTGCTCCAGGAGACGTCCACTCATTGAGTGGAGAACATGTGAGTTTAAATAGACTTTCTGGCCGGCGCCTTGGCTCACTAGGCTAATCCTCCACCTGCAGTGCCGGCACCCCAGGTTCTAGTCCTGGTTGGGGTGCCGGATTCTGTCCCCATTGCCCCTCTTCCAGTCCAGCTCTCTGCTGTGGCCCGGAGTACAGTGGCAGATGGCCCAGGTGCTTGGGGCCCTGCACCCCATGGGAGACCAGGAGAAGCACCTGGCTCCTGGCTTTGAATCAGCGTGGTGCACCAGCCACAGGGTGCTGGCCGTAGTGGCCATTGGGGGGTGAACCAACAGAAAAGGAAGACCTTTCTCTCTGTCTCTCTCTCTCACTGTCCACTCTGCCTGTCAAAAAATAAATAAATAAATAAATAAAAAATAGACTTTCTTAGATACCTGAACCCTCAGTAGGCCTTCGCTAGGCTTCTTGCCTGTCTGGAAACAAGATAACACTAAGAGCTTCGGTTTGCTGTGCTACCTGCCATGAACCAAGGACCACAGCACCGCGTATATTCTTCATAGCTGCGCTCTGAAGTACTGACTTACAGGGGAAGGGACCGAGCCTCAGAGAGGGCGAGCCACCAGGATGAGCCAGGCTCTCTGATGCTCGTGCCCTTGGCCACTCTGCTGTGCACGGTGGCCTGGTCCTCTGGGGATACAAAGCTCCATTTCTAAAGAGAACTAGAGGTGGGTCTCCTTGGATGCAGAAATTTGGGGCCAACTTGTAGCAGGCAGTTTGTGTCATTATCGTTCTATGAGGCACTAGGGAGAGAGCTGCCAAGAGGAGACAAGACTTGCGTTTGGATCAAACGGTGGAAATCAGTCTGCTGTGGCCAGCTCCCTGCTGCTGATCCCGCAGATCCCGCGCACAGGCCCCAAGGGCTCGGATGCATCTGGGCCTGATCCAGAAGCTCTGGCTATGAAATCTGAGGAGGAAGGGTGCATCCCTGGGTCTTGACCTGCGATCCATTCTGGGTATTAAGGAGCCAAGTAGGCTCCAGGTGTTTCCCCGGGGCACCGGGAAGGCACTGAGAAGAGAGTCCTCTCATCCTCTCCCAGGCCCTGTCCTGCTCGCTTGCCCTTGGGCGGCACTGCTGCAGGGGGCTGGCCTGTGACAGGGCGGCGTTTCCCAGCCTTCCCTGACACGCCTCACCAGGGGTCTCCTGGACTCTGCAGTCGGTGCCGGGATGGCCTGCCTCTGGGCAGATCCGGCCACGCGCTGTCACAGTTCCCAGAATTCTTGTTGCCAGGGCTACTTTCCTCTTTCATCCTTGGGATCTGACCCATGTCGATCTCTGTCTGGCTAACTCCTTGTTCGTCAGGCTTCACCTTAGACACTTCTTGCAAGCTATGACCGACCCCTGCCTGGTGCCCAGTGCCCTGAGCCCCCTGTACTCCATCACCACACTGCTTGCTGTGGTTACTGCTGCTTCACTCTTCTGTGTTCCAGACTGGATACGAAACCATAGGTTCCCTAGGGAATCTCCCGCCTGACGTGCCTGGTGCGCCATGAGCCCCCCATGAATGTGTGCTAGACTGATGGCTGTGTCCTCCAAGAGCCCCGTGGGCCCCTCTGACTGCAGTGTCTCTGGTGAGGGAGGAGGCCCAGCAGCAGGCGGGAGCCAGCTCACTCACCTGACCGCAGCTTCCCTCTGCCTGGTGGCATCGGTGATGTGCACCGGGAGGGTGTTGGCAGAGAGCGAGGCGAGGCCGCCCAGAGAGCGACTCCTCAGTAGCGGCGCAGCCGGCGGCGGGGGGCAGTCCTAGAAGCGAGGCCTGCTGTTGGTGAGCCGGCACGTGGCATCAGGTGCCATCCTAACGAGGATCTGGTCTCAGTGGAGGACTGACAGTGAGAAGCCTCACTTTGTTCCCTGGGGAGTAAGGCAAGGCTCCGGACCTCAGGTTTAGAAGGGAGGTCAATGTCACCCCTGAGGTTTTCAGTCAGAGGAGGAGTCCCTCGGGGCTGGCACGGGGGCATAGCAGCTGGTGGCTACTGCCTGCCCTCCAGACCGGCAAAATCCCCCTAGAGACGGGGCAGGATTCCTGTGGTCTTCATATATAAACCTTTTTTTATTTTTTTTTTGGGGGGGGGGGGAGGGAAGACAGAGTTACAGAGAGGGAGAGAGAGGTAAGAGATCTTCCATCAGCTGACTGACTCCCCAAATAGCTACAGTGACCAGGGCTGGGCCTGGCCAAAGCCAGAAGCCAGAGGCCTCATCTGGGTCTCCCATGTGGATGCAGGGACCTGAGCACTGGGGCCATCTTCCGCTGCTTTCCCGGGAGCATTAGCAGGGAGTTGGATCAGGAGTGGAGCAGCTGGGCCTCGAGCTGGATGCCGGCATCACAGGTGGCACCGGCACCTGCACCTGCTGTGCCACAACACCGGCCCCGCCGTGGCCTTAATTGGATAGGATTGTGGATCTGCTCACAACTGAGCATGGATTTTTTTGAAACTAAGAGAAAAGTGTCGTGAGAAGCATTTCCCATGGAGCCTGGGCCCACCTGGGTTTCAGGCCCCAGGCCCCGGCGTCCCCAAGCTGCCTGGGCTCTCACCCTTGTCCCGGCGGCGGTGGTGGTGGCGGTGGCGCAGGGCCGCTGGGTGTGACGCAGGTTGGCAGTCCTCAGCAGGAAGGGCTTGCTGCGAGTGGCCTCCCGGCTTTGCCGCCCTCTGGCAGCTCTCCTCTGGAAGGCCCTGTACAGGCCCTCGTAGTCGGGCACCGCCGGGTTCACCCGAGGCTGGAATTCGAAGTCCGTCTGCAGAAACCCCAGCTTTGCTTCCTGGGTGCGGCTGGCTGTCCGGCGCCGTGGGGCAGCCTGGCTGCCGGTGGCCTGGACTGGGGAGGAGGCCATGCGGAGCGTGTCCAGGGCTCGCATCTGGATGCGAATTTTCCTGAGCAGCTCAGCTTCTGTGGAGACAAAGGGCGGTGAGGAGTGGCTGCAGAGGCAGCGGGACGCTTGATGGGGCCAGTGATAGGAGCATTCAGGCCACACACCACGGCCAGCTCGCTTTTTCTTTTCTGAAGACGGCAATGCAGAGCCCAGCTGGTGACGCAGCACTGTTGGCTCCCGCCTCAGAGAGAAGAGCAGGGGCAGGCCGGGCCCCTGTGCCCCCCCGGCCTTCCCGTCTCCATCCACCCTGCCGCCCAAGCCCTTTGCCCGATCCTTCCCCTGCCCCTCGCCAGCCAGGACCTCTGCCATCTCTTCTTCCAGCTGCCAGTCCAGGCTCTCTGCGTCGCTCCTGCCGCTAGTTTCTGAACTTCTCAGCGGGGCTGCTGAACTCGCCTCCTGTTAGGTGAGCATCCCTCGGCCCGGCCGCCCCCACAGGCACGGACACAGCTCTGAGAGAGATCTTCCTGCTCCCTGCACAGAACTCCCAGTGGCGCTGCAGTGCCCCCGGGCTGGAGTGCAAACACCGCCCACCCTGGCTGGCCCCTGCCTCTCCCTTCCCGTCCTCCCTCTCTCCACCCTCCCTGCTTCCTCCAGCCCGGCCAGGTCCACTGCTTCACTGAGTTCACCACGCTCCCTCAGGGTAGCCCCAGGGCTCGCTCTCTTTGGGGACTGTCGGTCCCAGACAGCCCCCACCCCAACTCCACCCTGACTTAGGTCCCTCTGTCCCATCTGTCTGCTATCTGCCTCACTCACACGTCTGCTCACTGCAGAACGGGTCTGGTGTGTGGCGTGTAAAGTAAAGCCCAAGGCCCCCATTCGGAGCCCTCTCTCTGTGATGATGACTATCCACCCCGAGTCATTTCCGTGACTGACATGTGCAGGCCAGGATGAGGGAGGGGCGGAGCGCTGCTCAGGGGCGCAGGCCTCCGCCGGCCCCCGACAGTGCCACCAGTCCTCTGCTCCTGCGTGTGGGGGACGTGGTGGGCTCCCCATTGCACACCCCCCAACCCATCCCCACAGCCTTCTCATAGGCCCGCCTGGCCTGCTTGTCTCTGAGCCCCAGGACGTGCCCAGGTGGCAGGTGGCAAGGCCGTCCTTACCCTGGAGTTTGTCCCCAAGGGCTGGCTCCAGAACGGCCTTGGGGATCCGTCTGGCGGCCTTCTGCTGGGGGCCCGTGGCCTTGGCTGTGGCAGCCAAGTCTCTCTGCCGAGCGGCCTCCTGTCGCTGCTGCTCCTTCTCCAGGAAGCTGAAGGGCTTCAGAGACGCCAGGAGCAGCTCCTTCCTCTTCCGGATCCCCGCCTGCCTGCGGGCCTCGCTGCGCGCCACCATCTCCTGGTAGAGGGGCAGGTAGACGTGCGCGGGCACAGGCTGCGCCCGGAACTGCCGGTGGCACTCGGCTTCCTCCTGGCCCTGCCGCTGGGCCCGCTGCCTCTCCTGCTCAAAAGAGGCGGGCGAGGCCCGCCACTGCGCCTTCTTCCGGGCCTCGCGCAGCGTCATGCGGAAGGGCCGGGGGACGGTGATGGAGGCGGCCCAGGAGCTGACGCTTCTGCGCTGGGACGGAGGTGTGGAGCCCGAGGGCGGCGGGAGCGGAGCCCCGGCGCGGTGCGAGGGGAGGCTGCCCAGGGAGCTGCAGCGCCTCGCGGAGCCACGCCTGGGGGAGAAAGCAGTGCTCGGCCCCAGTCCTCCCTGCCACACGTCCTAGTGCCACAGGCCTCCAGGCCCAAAACCTGCCCATGAGGCCACGCTGCCCCTTCCCTCCCACGAGCAATCCCAGCAGCCCTACGGGGAGGTGTCTTTCTCAGAACTGCCTCGAGAGCTGCCAGTGTGCCCTCGGGTGTTGCCACAGGATCAGCAGGGCACCGGGGCTTTACAGTCAGACCCAAATCCCGCTTCGAGCCTTGAACACGCTTCTGTTGGAACCTGCTCCTCGTGTGCAGAGCGGAAAGCCCACCGTGTGCTTAGAGCGCTGCTGGCAGGGAAAGGAGCTATTCCGCGAGGTGCACAGGCACGGGACAGGCTAGGCCGAGGCGAAGGGTCCCTGCTGCCATCGCTCCACCTATTCCAACGCCTGGCACTGCCCAGAGCCTCTCAGGAGAGCCAGGCAGGAGGCGCGGCACTGGGTGGACCCCAAAGCTGACTGCGAGCTGCAGCCTGCCCAGTGGCAACTTTTACACAAGAGGAGGAGGCCCAGAGATGCGGCCGACCGCAGTCTTACCTGGCAGGTGGGCGCTGCGCCACCTGTGGTTTCCCCCTGCCCTCTTGGAAGAAGCGCTCCAGGTCCTCGTCATCGTCGCTGTCTGCCTCCGACTGAAAGAGAGACTCCAGCAGGCCCCACCCGCCCTTCTGCGCCAGCACCTGCAAGTTCTCATCCGAGGCAGAGGCCGAGGCCGAATCCGTCTCCTGCTCTGGGCTGAGGAACTCGGCGAGCCTGCCAGCCCTGGGCCAAGCCAGCCTGTGCCCAGGGAGCTCCTCTTCGGCCTCTGTGTCCGAGGAGGACCTGGGGGGAAACACCTGAGACAGAACAGAAACAGACGGGGCAAACTAGGCTTTCACGGGCCTCCAGCTCCTAACCGCTCGCTTCCCATTGCGCAGCGGCGTCTGCAGGGGGCGCTGAGGAGCCGCGCTCCTTCTCTGGAGAGGTTTTCCAGCCCGGGATGGCCGCGTGCTTGGGGAAGCACAGAGCTGAACGTGGTCCCAGGCTCCACGCCGAGCGGCAGCACCTACAGAGGACCGGATCCGCACCTGCGCTCGGGATTCCCCCGGGGACCCTGGCCCTCCGCCCTCCCTTCCGTGGGCATCACCTGCTGTTGCCATCTCCCGGCTCTGATTTCCCGTCTGCACCTCTGCCCTCACATTCTAGCCAACTCCCACTCTGTCCCTAGGAGCGGATGATTAACATTCAGTGTGGTCTAACTGAAAGAACAGTGTCCTACAATGCATTTGTTTTTGTTTTAAACATATTTTTATTTTATTTGAAAGGCAGAAAGAGAGACAGGTGGAAAAAAGATCTTCCATCTGCTGGCTCCATCCTCGAAAGTTCCCAACAGCCAGGCCTGGGCTAAGCCAAAGCCAGGAGCCCAGAAATCAACACGGGTGGCAGGGACCCGAGCACTTGGGTCCTCACTGCTGCCTCCCGGGTGCGCATTAGCAGGGAAGTAGATCAGAAGAGGAGTCGCTGGGGACCAAGCCAGGCTCTCTGATATGGGACGCAGGCGTCCCAGGTGGCAGCAAAGCACCGTGCCACACACTCACTCCCCACTTAGCTTCGAAATGCCTCACTCATTCAGGAACTCTTTACTGGATACCCAGTGTGCGCTATAGGCATTTGCCTGAGAATAAGACAGACAAGATGCCCACGCTCACGGAGCTTAACTTCCAGTGAGAAGAGGCAGACGCTGAGGTTACACAGCGAGGACACAACACCCAGGGGAAGCTTTTCCGCTGAGGTCACTAGGAACCCCGAGGCAGGTGAGGGGAGGCAGGTGGGAGCTGTCGTGAGGTAGGGACAGTTGAGTAAGTCGATGGTCGTGCAGCTTTTATTCAGAAGGTGAGGAGAACAAAGCCGGGCATGGGAGTTATTAAGAATCATCATTTAGAAGGGAGGTTGGCCATTCTGCAGCTGTTGGGGGGGGGGGTGCTAAGAAAAACAATGGTGTTTTGTTTTGTTTTTTGCTTATCCTGCTGCTGGCCTCGTTCTGAGTTCTGGACTGTCATTTGCTCACTGTGTGGGAATTTGGGGCTGACACCCAGCTGATGAAAGGAGCCAGCCTTGGTAAGATCTGGGCTAAGAGGGTCCTGGTTCAAGGAAGAGCTAATGCAAAGACCCAGGGGCAGAGTCTTGGGCAGGAACACCCGCGAACCTTCTACAAGTAAAGGGAAGGCCCGTGCGGCTGGGGGAGTGACCTGAGATGGGGCCAGCTTGGGACTGATGTGCGTTTGCGGAAGCGAAACGGGGTGGGGGGTGGGGAGCAGGCCACTGCCGCGCAACAGGTGCCATGTGGTGAACGTCTCACTGGGTTCTGCAAGGCCGAACACTGGCCTGAGTCAGCGGTGCGTGCGAGCTCCGCTCTTGAAAAGCACGCGCGCTTCCGCACACTTCTTCTCCGAGACACCGCTTCCCTGCAACTCACTCACTTAAAATGGCTTCCAGTATACTGCATTCACGGTCACTCCTTATTTTCCCTACCCCGTCCCCGCACAACCGACCTCCACCGACCTGGCGGCAAACGTCTGACCCTCTCCGGGCCTCAGCTTTCATTCCACAAAATGGGGACAGGGCAGCCGCCAGGAGAAGCAAAACCAGAGAGCCGCTGCTACGGTGCCCTGGGGGCCTGGCAGGAGACTCGCCGGACCAAGTCCGTCTGGACACCCCCGTGCCACTCCTTCGCTCCTCCGAGGCACGCCCCTGCCGCCTGTCGCCTAGGCAACATCACCCCGGTTCCTCTCGGGGGTTCCTTTCCAGGGCGCACGCCTGCTTCCTGCCTTCTCCTCCTCTCCTCACCTGACGGCTCCGCGCCGCGTCGCCGGGGGCTCCCGCAGGCCTCCCCACCGTCATCTTCCCAGCCAGGCAGAGGCAGAAGCCGCGGTGACAGCGGCGGCTGCGGGGCTGCCTTAGTTACGAAAAGCCTGGTCCTGCCCCTTTCTCAATCTGGTCTCCGATTGGCTTCCAGGGCAGCCGGCCGATTCATCCCGCCCAAGGAGGCGAGAATCGTTTTCTGATTGGTCAGCTCTCTTCGAGCGTTTCATTTCCGGTTCACAGGGCTCGCCTGAAGCAGCACCGGATTGGAGGGCTGGGCCCCGGAAGTACTACCTAAGTCGGGGCGCCGACTACGCCGGTGCAGATCGGCGGCATGGCGGCCCGGCTGGTCGTGAGCCGGTGGGCGGCTGCACCTGTGGCCGCCCGCGCAGGCCCGCTGGTCACCTGTCGCAGGTGGTCCGGAGCCGCCGCAGACACCGTGTACGATGTAGTGGTGTCGGGCGGAGGCCTGGTGGGCGCTGCCATGGCCTGTGCTTTAGGTAAGCGCATTTCCAGAGCCACAGTGGCGGCGAACGGGGCGGCGGGGGAGCGACGAAGAGCGCGGAAACCCTGGCTCTGTGGCCCAACGACTGCGCGCGTCCCGGGCCTTGTGGTCGGTGCCCTGCCCTCCTAGGGCGGCTTCAGGGACGCGTCCGGTCAAAAGTGGGAGGGGCCTTCTGAAGCTGGCAAACGCGTGGGGGAACGGACCCGCGGGGTCGTTTCGTGTCAAGCGCAGGTGGGAGTCGTTAGCCGTTAAAAAACAAACAAACAAAACCAAAAAAACAGAACTTTGCATGTACCGTGTATACGTTTGTGGGGGTTGAGGGCAGGGAAGTAGGAGCAGCGAATCCCATTAGGGTGCCGGTGGAGCTGACACCTGTGGCTGGGCCATGGCGCTTAGGACCGAAGCTTACTGTGCAAGGTGGCCACGGGGCATAGATGGCGCCACGGATAAGACGGCACCATTTTACTGACAACCCTAGGCAACCACTCCTATGCCTACTTTTAAAAAGGTAATTAATTAGAAAGGCAGCGTGTTAGCGCGTGCTCGTCCGTCCCCTAAATGGTGCCACAGCTCGGCCTGGGTCAGGCTGGAGCCAGGAGCTCCATTCGGGGCTCCCTTGTTGGTGATGGGGGGCCCAACGGCTTGGGCCATCAGCTGCCTTCCCAGGCGCATTAATAGGGAACTGGGTCCGTCCCTGCTTCGGTTATGGGATGCCAGCCAGGCAAGCGGCAGCTTAGCCTGTTGTGCCGCTGTACCGATTACACACACACACAAATACACATCTGATTGCCTTTTCTGGATAGTTCTGTCTAAATACAACTACTCAGTGTTGTGGTTTTTGTTTTTTTGACAGGAAGAGTTAGAGAGAGAGAAAGGTCTTCCTTTTACGTTGGTTCACCCCCCAAATGGCTGCTACGGCCGGCGCACCGCGCTGATCCGAAGCCAGGAGCCAGGTGCTTCTCCTGGTCTCCCATGCGGGTGCAGGGCCTAAGGACCTGGGCCATCCTCCACTGCCTTCCCGGGCCACAGCAGAGAGCTGGCCTGGAAGAGGAGCAACCGGGACTAGAACCCGGGGTGCCGGCGCTGTAGGCGGAGGATTAGCTTAGTGAGCCACAGCGCCGGCCAACTCAGTGTTTTTAAGATTGTGTGTTAGCATGTATCAGTAGTGCGTTCTTTTTGACGGCCAAATAGTTCACTGTGTGTGCGCTTTTGTTTCATCAGTTGATGGGCACTCAGGAAGTTTCCAGTTGGGGCCAATTAATGAATAATTCTGTGACTGTTCTGTGTGGTCGTGCTTTTGGCTACTTAATCCCTGTCTGTGGAATTGTCGGGTCAGATGGCAGCTCTGTGGTCAGGGCTCTGAGATGGGCAAGCTGCTCCCAGCCAGAGTGGCCGTGCGCTGTACATTCCTTCAGCACGCATCGGGGTCGGGTCGCGGCCTCAGGGCACTTGTTCCCGCTCTTTGTTTCTGCCCATCTGTGGGCGCGAAGTGTCTGCGCTGGTGCTTCCCTGGGGACTACTGATGTTGCCTATCCTTTCACTTGCTTTTTGGCCATTTGTGTATCCTCTTTGGAGAAATGTTTATTCAGACCCTTTATTTTTATTTGTTTAATTTTCTTTATTTGTTTGAAAGAGCAGTCTTTCCTCTGCTTCACTTTTCAAATGCCTGCAATCGTGGGACTGGGCCAGGTGGAAGCCAGGAATCCGGGACTTGGTCGGGGCTTCCCACCTGGGTGGCAGGGCCCGGGTCTTGAGTGATCACCTGCTGCCTCCCAGGTGCACTCTAGCAGGAAGCTGGGATCGGAAGGGGAGCTGATATTGGAATCTGGGGTGCCATGTGACATCACCGTGTGCTTATTAATAAATTCCCAATATTAATCAGCCTGTGTGGGTTCTTGCCTAATATTCAGAGAAGAATTCTGAATACCAGCATAAATGAACGAGGCAGCATGGTACGTTGTAAGCTTTTTATTCAGTGAGAGAAATGCATAGGAGAATGAGGGCCCTATCTACGAGAGAGAGAAATCTGGATTCATACTGATTCATACCGAATACCCGGAGCCACCTGGCGGAGCATGCACCCTGGGTGGGTGGCCCAGGGCAGCACAATGGCACAAGGCCAAAGAAAGGGTTGGGCCCACTGTGTCCCTTTTTTTTTTTTTTTTTTTTTGACAGGCAGAGTGGACAGTGAGAGAGAGATACAGAAAGGTCTTCCTTTTGCCATTGGTGCACCCTCCAATGGCCGCCGTGGCCAGCGCACTGCGGCCGGCGCACCGCGCTGATCCGAAGGCAGGAGCCAGGTGCTTCTCCTGGTCTCCCATGGGGTGCAGGGCCCAAGCACTTGGGCCATCCTCCACTGCACTCCCTGGCCACAGCAGAGAGCTGGCCTGGAAGAGGGGCAACCGGGACAGAATCCGGCACCCCGACCGGGACTAGAACCCGGTGTGCCGGCGCTGCAAGGCGGAGGATTAGCCTAGTGAGCTGCGGCGCCGGCCCACTGTGTCTCTTTAAGGGGAGTGGTTAATTAACCTGACTGGCCAGTGGGCACACAGGTGTGGCCAGGTAGGGGCATGAAGTCACACAGGGGCGTGGTCTTTCAGCTCACAAACCTAGTCAATTTAACCTGTATGCCTGCCCACAACAGAGCCAGGACTTGAACCCAGGCACTCCAATATGGGATGTGGGCGTCTTAACTGCTGTGCCAAACACCTACTCCTTACCCTTTGTTTTAATTGGGCTATTTAACTTTTTATTATTTCAGTTGTAGGAGGTCTTTCATTATATTCTGAGTACAAGTTCCTTATCAGATAAATGCTTTGCAAGTAGTTTTCTTCCATTTTGTGGTCTTTTTTACTTTCTTGACAGCGTTTTTTGAAGCATAAAATTTTTATTATTTTATTTTGACAGGCAGAGTAGACAGAGAGAGACAGAGAGAAAGGTCTTCTTTCCATTGGTTCACCCACCAAATGGCTGCTACGGCCAGCGTGCTGCGCCAATCCGAAGCCAGGAGCCAGGTGCTTCTTCTGGTCTCCCAGGCAGGTGCAGGGCCCAAGGACCTGGGCCATCCTCCACTGCCTTTCCGGGCCACAGCAGAGAGCTGGCCTGGAAGAGGAGCGACCGGGACTAGAACCCGGGTGCTGGCGCCATAGGTGGAGGATTAGCAAAGTAAGCCGCGGCGCCGGCCTCCCTTAAGTTCTGAAGCATCTCCAGAAGGGAGGTCGAGGTTTGCAGGCGTGCTTCCTCACAAGTGAAGCCCCTGGTGAGCGCGTCCTGCTCTGCCCTCTTGGCGGCAGCAGCTCACACCTTTTCTTATCTTGGCCAGAGCTGTCTCTGAGACACTACAGGCCTCTGCTCAGTCACCCAGTGACAGGTCCCAGGGCCAGGTCACTTCTCTCTATGGCTGTCTTAGGGTCTGATCTGCAGGCCCAGTCTCTAGAATTTTTGGCCCCTTTTGTTTTATAAAGACTCTGGTTCTGTTGGACCTGGGGGTTGTAGTGTGTTTTCCTGGTTATGCCAGTGTTGTGTTGGATAGGAGCTGTGATTTTCAGTGACTTAATACTCTGCACATGGAAAGCTCTGGTGTCTGCATACTGTAGTCTTACTTCCTTCTCCCGAGGCAGAGCGGTTCTGTTAGTGGGAGTTTTGCGTCATTTGCTGCTCTACAGCACATGGTGCTGGCGGACTGTGGAGCCGCCCTGCAGTTGTGGGTGGGCCGACGCGGTGCCTCTGCTGCCCAGGGCTCTCTGCATGGGTACCGGAGAGTCACGGCCCGCAAGAAGTCTGCATTCAACAGCCCAGGGACTTAGTGTGTTGGTTTTCTTGGAAATGACAAAGGGAATAATTCCTGGATTTTCCTAAAATGATATAAAACGTTGCCTTTTCTTTTTTTAGGCTATGATATTCACTTTCGTGACAAGAAGATCCTTTTGATAGAAGCCGGTCCAAAGAAAGTACTGGAGAAATTGTCAGAAACCTACAGCAACAGGGTCAGCTCCATTTCCCCCGGCTCTGCAACCCTGCTCAGCAGTGAGTAGAAGGCCCTCTTCTCAGTCCAGTCTCCTTTCCCTCTCGGCTTTCCAGTGCTTTCTGTCGAGGCATACTGTCCAGCATCTGGGCAAGAGTGCTTTCACTGAGGTGGGGGCAGGTCGGAGTGGGCTTGGTAGTCTGGTGTCTCGTTGGCGATGAGGACCCTGAGATTGTCAGCCCGTCAGTTTGCAGCCTGGGGAAGGCACCCCTGGGGCCTGTGGGTCCATCACCTGGGCATAACCTGGGCTTCACCTGGGCACTGACACGGTACAGACTCCGCTTCTAGTCGTGCTGCCCTCTCCATTTTGGGAGCCAGCCCTCCAACGAGTGCGTTCGGGGCAGACACGACTGTGCTGTGCACGCTCTCCAGATGCCAGTCCCTCGGGCTTTGCAGAAGAAGCTCCGTCACTCCCCGGCCCCTGAGCCTGTGTGTTCCTCGTCGTAACCCCGGCTGACGCTGCGGTATGGCCGTGTTTATTGCTCATCTCTCCAACCACAGAGGCAGTGCAGAAGGCAGGGGCTTTGTCCATTTTGTTTCCCACGTTATGCTCAGGACCTAGAACTGTATCTGGCACATGGAAGGTGCACAGTAAATATTTCTTAAATAAATGAATAAAAAAATATTCCTTAGCTGGAGT